ATAACCCAAATATCCTTTAAAAAAATGGGAATATATTCATAACTGTGGATATATTGACATCCCTGATGTCAAAAGCGCTCACTAATCTACAGGGCAGGTTCAGTCAATATTTGTTATACTGAACTAAGATCACATAAAGAAACTAAATCTAACACATCCTCATATTCACAGCATCCTCCTGAGAAAATTGCCTAAAATCGATCAGGTCTACACACTAAACCAGAAATCTACTTCTGAGAAACATGACATTTTTTATAAAGAGCTTAGGTGTATGACAAATGGGCCAACGGATAGAGATGTTTAACATCTTTAGATACCAAGCTATTTAAGAAAAACAATGTATTCTGACACAGCCTTGTAAGACAGTTATCTATCTTTGATGAGCCATTTGCTTATACATACAAATGCTCCATTGGCACCACACACTTGAGGAACAGGTATGTCCATGCCACTGAAATGAAAGACCTTGCCATAATGTACAGGCATCCGTTGCCACACTACGAAAGAGTGGACAAACCATCAATGTTTTAGAATAAAATCTTTCTTTTTTTTTTTTTATGATTCCTGAAGGCCACATAAATATAAATAAGAGAAGAGGTTACTACCTAAATGCTATTCTGACAAACTGCCCACTAAGTGCTATAAATTTTTGGGCAAGAGTTGTACTATTTTCAGGTTTAGCCTAAAGGGATAGAAAATGCTTTCACTAACCCAAGTTAAAATTTCTGAGTTCGTGGGCTTATCAGAACGTATCGATTGAGCTACGTGCTCATTATGACTATGGTTTCCAACCTGAGACCCGCTCCTAGTAAGGCCACCTGTGCCTATCCCTCAGGCCACCAAACAGAGAGAAAGTGGTAATAATGTTCACTCAGTACCCACGTTATTAGGTAAAAACATAAAAATTAGACTTTTGTTATCAATGCTACAATCATTTTCGTTGCCACTTGGCTTATTACTGTAAAGCTTGGCATTTCTGTAAACTGTGCCTAAATATGTTAACTAAGTCAAATGCAATATTTTGAATATCAAGTTAATTTTTCTTCTCTCCCTACTTGTTTTACTTGTAAATCATCCGTGTCTTATTTCTAAAGGGATTTAAAGATACTAATTGAGTTTCTGATGTGTGTCAGATAAGAAACATGATAGCTAAGCAATGGATAGCATTTTCGAGATGAACACTTTGTTTAAAAAAAAAGAAAACGTGTTTTCTCAAAATGTAGACTCTGCTAGTTAGGCACTCACAGATCCGAGTCATCGTGCAGACCTACCAACAGAAAATTTTCAAGTCACGCATTCAACTCCAGATTGATCCACGATCTTAAACATGACAAATCTTTGATACTTATTATCAATGGCTGACTAAGAGCCTTCCTCACCTCAAAGTAGGCATCTTATGGATCTTGTTGAACATTCTATCCAATCTCTTTAAGATGAGGATGAGAGCTGGCCTCACTGCCTCAGCTGTCCAGTCGGTAATGGGCAGCATCTCCATGATGTAGCGCCGCAGCCCACGGCTCTCCATGGTCTGGGTGTCATACGGTGCCAGTTTCAGAAGGGAGTGTGCAATTTCTGCCAATCTGAAATGATGTTTTGAAAGAATAATCTTAGAATCCTATGACCAGAAATTTTCAGCATAGCATCATACTAATGATCTCCTTCCAGTACACCAACTCCATGAACTGAGAAAATTCTTCCCAGCATTCTCCATCCCTGTGTTCTCACATTTATCAACACATTGATGCCTGCACATGCATATTAATAGAAAGCTACAGGAGCTTTCAGGGGGTAAATAAGAGAACAGCTGATGAGGAAACTAAGACCCTGACAGAGTATGGACAGGCCAAACATATCTAGAGAATATCAAGTCTGAGCATACACATACACACACATAAAAGAGAAACTAAACTTTAATGAACAAGAAAATCACTAATATCAAATGTCAAGGTAAGCTTGATGGTCTCAGAACTCCCTCACAGCTCATAGGCAATATCAAAAGCACTCTACAAATGGTGTTTTGGGTTTTATTGCAGTCCAAGGAATTCTTCAAACTTCATTTCCTTTCCATTCCTTCAAAGCCTTTGCTTTGCTTTGCTTTTTTTCTTTTCTTTTCTTTTCTTTTCTTTTCTTTTCTTTTCTTTTCTTTTCTTTTCTTTTCTTTTCTTTTTTCTTTTCTTTTCTTCTTCTTCTTTTTTTAAATACATGGATCCTCTTGCTCTGCTGAAGTTCTTTTTCTTTTTTTTTAATACCACCACAGAGCTATTTAAATAAACTCACATCTTTCATCTCCATTACGTGGACCTGGTGGTCAAACCACTTGCTGCCATCTGAAAGATTTGCCCTGTGTGTGTTTCTGGAACTTTTGAATTTTAATTTTTTTTTCATTTTTAAGTTTTTTTTTTTTGGTCATAGGACACACATGTACTCACCAGAGACAGGGAAAGTGAGAACTCATCCACCAAAGAAGAATGGTCACACCACATTCCTTTGTCCTCCATTCTCCTGGGATTTTGAGTATACACTCTCACACGTCCAGTGCGATTTTCAAGCCACCAGGTCGAGTCTTGAACAATGCTCAGCCATGTGAGAGTCTAGCGTCTTAACTACCATGCCACATACTAGCCCCAAGGTTTTGCCTTTTAAGTCAAGGTTGCACGTAAACATTGCGAACTCCAGATACCTGCTGACTTCAATCTCTGCTTTCCAGATGTGGGGATGACAGAATTGTGGAGTTGCAAGATGTGGCTGCTGCATGCCTGAAAAAGGCCTGTGATAGCTCCTGGTCATGACTAAAGATTCCAGGCAGGCTGGCTTCAGTTTTGAGTTCACTCAAAAGCTCCATTAAGATGCACAGGAATGTACATGTGGAGATAGAGGGAGGAGCTTGCTGATGTCCTGAAATGTCCCTCTACATCCTGGCACCTCACACCACTAGCTCTGCACCTTTAGTGGTGAACAGGGATTCAAGAGTGGGGAAAGTCTGGGCGGATGGACAGATGGTGACACTAAAGATCAGCCCCCTTTCCTTGAGCAGTTCACACACAGTTTCCAACTGCCTTTTTTCTAAATTCATGTACTCATTTCTTCCAAGAAAGAGAGAGAAGCACCCCAACGGTCTTTGTGTCACAATCCATCCCTGGTTTTAGCCAGCCTGATCATGGGGTACTGGGCCAGTGTGCTCAGAGAAGTCCTGGGATACAAACCCAGGACCTTTCTCATATGCCCATTTGTGTTACCACTGTGCCACCACCGGTTCCCTTCAGCCATCTTTACTTTTTTCTTTTTTCTAGAGGGTATGTGTGCTTGCCAGAGAGAGAGAGAGAGAGAGAGAACCCCCTGACCCCCTGTGGGGAATGGTCATGCCACAATCCTTCCATCTTTCTCTTTTCTGGATTTTGGGCATGTACACACAGGGTCCTGATGTGTTTCTAAAGCTGTAGGGTCTGGGACTCAAGCCACACAAGTGGCCATGTGGGATCCAGCTGCCTTCACCACCAGGCCACCAGCTGATCCTTGTGGGTGATTTCCATGTGGTTTGCCTTGTAGAAATGTCTCTCCTGGTTATGGCGCATGCTCTGACCTAGGGCCTTTACAGAAATTCTTTACATAATTGGCCTAGTTAGGCTGTCTGGATGGCTTTGGTTTGTTGGCACTACTTCTCAGGTTTCTGAATTTTGTTCCATGTAGAAACTGTCAAAAGAGTTGCACTTTTTCCAAGGTTGGCCCAAGTTCTTGGTTATCAGGCCCAAGTGTTTATGTACTAAGTGTGAGGCTTTTTGAGGCCAAAACTGGCCAACAAGACTGATAAGGCAAATAGGATTTCTGGTAAGTCTATCTGTGGTATCCTAGTTCTGTTGCTTACACTGAGCTAAATCACTTAAATCATAGCTCATGGAGCTATTAACAGGTGTTGACCTCCAGAGGGAGCTCTAAAGCCTCTCAACTCATGTTCTTCCAAATGCCCCAAAGAGAGCAGATACAGATGGTCACTTTACTTGACAATCACTGTTCCATGGTGTCTCTCTCTCTCATACATACACACACACGCACACACACATACAACTACATTTTAGAAATCTTTTTGCATTTCACAAAATGCCTGTTGGTAATAATAATTTTCTGACCCTGGGAGTGTGATGTTTCTATGTCCACAGAATTACTTAGCTCAGTTAAGAGATGATAGGTGGGAAAGGAATAGGAGAGATGACTAGAGTCCTGAGTTGCTATGGCAACAGGACCTTAACACGCCATACTTCCCTTCCCTTTCTCTGAAGGTTTCTCTCTAGGAGCTGAAATTCTTGGTGTGAAATCAGCTCTTTCCCATTAGTGCACAGGGGGAATTGTGAACATACATGAAGCTCTCCATGGTGTTGCTGGGTACTGCTCACCACTAGAAAATGTGAAATTAGTCTGGAGAAGAAATAAGCTGTGCTTGTACATTTCTGGCCTCTTCTTCACTAAAATTCATTCTAATATTTTTCAAAAGATTATTTTAAGGAAAAAGGTTCTTAAAAATTGGTGTTTTTCACCAAATGGCAGTGTTATTTCTGAATGGCTGAAGCTTAATTCTACATTTAGCTTTTTTAAAAATATTTTTTCATTTTATTTTTATTTATTATTATTATTATTTTTGGAGAGTTTTTTGCTATAGGGCACGTGCACTCGCCAGACAGACAGAGAGATAGAAAGCGAGAAATCACCCCCCAGGGGGGATGGCCAAGCCGCAATCTCTTCTCCTCCATTCTCCTCTTGGGATCTTGGGCACCCACGCACATGCGCCCGGCGTGAGTTTTAAGCCATCGGGTCCGGGATGCGAACCGTGGTCGACTACATGGGAGTCCAGCGACATAGCCATTATGCTAACTGCTGGTCCCCCTTTTATTTATTATTTTAAATTTGACTGAGAGAGACAGAGAGAGAGAAAGGGAAAGTGAGAAAGCAAGCCACCAGATCGCCATGTGGGAATCCAGTACCTTAAACACTCACCACTTGCTGGCCCCTACATTTAGCTTTGTAGAAATACTAAATTTTCTAAGTAAATCTTTTGTTCATGAGCCTTTACAAATTATTACAAATTTGAATGGAAGGTAGTTTGGAATCATGTTCCCTTTAAGAATCTGAATACACACAACCTTTATCATGAGTAGCAAGTCAAATGGCATCTCCACAGAAGAAGGAAATAGAGTGCACGGAGAGGTACGTCCAGGGCCTTTTCCTGACAGAGCAGGAGTAAAGTATTTAAAATGATGACTAAGCTCATCCAGTTGAACTGTTAGAAGGCTATCAAACACAATGAATATAAAGGGGATCTCAGGCCCAAGCAAGGTTAGCTGAAAGTTAAAATTACTCACTTTCTTGCAAGGCTCATAACTTAGGTGGTCTAGAGATAAAACAAATACTCCAGTAGGAAGCATTTTCATTGGATTCTTGTGAAAAATTGGAACCTGGGCAGTGAATAGTACTTGGAAGAAGGTGACTTTATGTTTTTTTTTTTTACTCTTTTATTTATTTACTTTTTTTTATTTTTTTAAAGAATTTGAATGCTGAAATTTTCCTCTCACTCTTATTGAAGAGCAAATACATGGACTTTGCTTTTCTGTCTAAGAATGTGTCTCCTTCCCCCTGTCTACCCAAGTCCTTTTTGGTGAACTTAATGAACACTATACCAGAGAGTTCTATATGGTACATATCCAAATCATGGGAATTAAATCATTGAGTATCCTGAGTTTTTATCCTGAATACTTCCTCCATCACATAAGCTTAACATCTACACTCAGACACACGGCCCAAGCTGTGTCCACACCCAGAGACAGGGAAATCAAGAATGGTACCTCATGTGGGACTTCACATCCAGCAGTTCCAGGGCAGTGACTCGTGGCTCTCCAGCCAGATTTTGCAAGATCTTCAATCTTGGCCCACAATGCTTATAGAATTCTGTGCAAATATTCAGCAGGGATTCTCGGGGTCTTCTGAACTCTTCCCGAGCAATTCGTTCATCCAGTTCTTCTCTAGGAAGACCTTGCCCTTCCTCCAGTAGGTGAAGGTTTTCCCTGGGAGATTTCAAAAGAATCACTAAGGGTCTGCCAAGGTGCGCATGTAGCAAGTGTGAGAGGAAACTATCACACTGAAGAAAAGTATAAGATTCGTCAGGAGTTAATGAATCAATAGGGTGAGGCCAAGGAGAGCCTCAGCTGAAGGATTCATAAAGTTCAGCAGCCTATAAGAGACTGGCATTCCAAATTAGCATAATGTTAGCTATTCTCTGAAGATGTATACAAAAATATGATGTCAAAGTTCAACTAAATAAAATTTAATGAAACCATAACCCGGCTCAAAAGGTAATCATCTCAAGATGTCTGGTATGAAATTAAAGCAAGTTTTTCTGTACCTGATAAAGTGCAGTTTGGCTCCTTGTTCCTGGTACCTGAGAGTCAGAAAAAGAGTCTGCATAATTATCAGAGTAAGAACAAGGTCTCTTTGCTAGGGTTTCTTATAGACTTTTTTTTGTATAAAATGTCCTTGATATACATTTCGATATATCCCAAATGTGCACATATTAACTCTTTTTTTCTCTTAAGGGAGATTTTTGCTATAGGGCATGTGCTCTCGGAGAGCCACAGAAAGACAAAAAGGGAGAAATCAACCCCCCCAAGGGGGATGGCCACATCGCAGTCCCTTCTCCTCCATTCTCCTCTCGGGATCTTGGGCACACACACACGTGCGCCCAGCGTGGATTTGGGATTCAAATAAAAGTCGACTACATGGGAATCCAATGACACAACCATTATGTCATCTTCCGGTCCTGTGTACATATTCATTCTAAAATGCAAACTTTTTAAAAATCTTTCATTTGGCTACTACATATACTATGATTACAGCGCCATGAAAGCTGTTTCATTGTCATAATTTATGTAGTGACAAATATATTAAAAACAGAAACTCATGGAAAGTAGCAAATGAGAGAAATTTTTGAGAACTTAGAACTAACTTTATGTTGTAGTTTTAACACTATGCTCCATAGCAGGAGGTCAGAGGAAGAAACCTGACTCACTTCCTTTCAGCTCTGGAGACTTACTCCTTTAAGACAGATGATAATAAAACTTAGACGTCTTTATCTATGTACCATTTATCTAGTAGTTGAACCTAACCTAATATACTTAAAGAAGTTCTGAAATTTCACTTCAATTAGATCATTTTCCTTAATATAAAAAACAATTGAGGCATAATTTAATCATTCTTAAGACAATTTATAGCTGGATTTGTAATTCAGTTTTATTTTATTTTTAATATGACTGTATATATATGATCAGCAGTGAACTCACTTTACATAAATAATATAGCACTTCAAAATATGATTCAGAGAGAGTTGGAAATTATTTAGTTTCTCTTTTTGATATCCCTATTAACTATTCCATGTTGGAAAAAAAAAAAAAAAAAAAAACTCTCTTAAGCAGGTTTTGGGTTTGCCTTATCTCGAATGGTCCTGGGAGGAAGAAGCTAATTTCACTTCTCTGTGTGTTTGAGTACTTAGAGGTTAACACAGATAGAATGAAGTAGATAAAGTATTTACCAGTAAAACCAGTGTCTGGTTTACACCAAAATGAGGTAAAGAGATTAAGTCAACAAGATGAAAGTATCATTCTGGGACATAAGTCAAAGTTTAGGTGAAATGTCTGCAGAAAATCTGTTCAGGCAAAAGTGAACTGACTCTGCATAACTACTCTGGGGATAAAAGACCGCCTCCTGATGATTATTGTTTCATTTGTCTTTTGCTGAAGGCAAATGAAACAACAGGGGAATAATTCAAAGAATACTCAGGAGGCGGAGAAAATCTAGCATGCACATGCAAACAAACCAACACAAATGCCCATTTGTGCAAATAGTTTGGATTTCTCTGACAATTTCAAAAGAAGTTTTGGTATTCTCTTGTAACTCTAAATGTCCACCTTCTTTTCTTTTCCTTGGAGGTTTTCACAAACAATATTGACTATTTTCAGGATTCCCTTCCTTTCCAACAGCTGACATTTTCAAGTTGTATGAAATTAAGCGATCATAGAAGTATAAAGCACAGTGAATTACCTGGTGTTCACCCCAGACGACATGGTGTGATTAGCTGTGGTGGTTCCCTTATGGCCTTGGTCACACCTGCTCATCTGTGGGGCTGTCATGGGCCTAAAACAATAACAGTGATTGTCACAAGAAGATAACATGTGGAAATATTTATGAAATCCTCAAGGCACTGAAGTTCACATAATTTTAGGTCAGTTTTAGAGTCTTTAAAAAGATAGGCCATTTAGTTTTGGGCTTTCTGTCACGCGTTTTCCCTTTGTTTTAAGAAGCGCTTTAAAAGGAATATTGAGTCCCAAGTCTACAAAAGCTTGCTATGATTTAAATTCTTTCACTTCTTTGTTTTTAGCAATAAACCATAGCTCTTTTAGACAAGACATTTATGAAGTCAAACTTCTAAGTTTACAGAGATGAAGTAAGTGAGAAGTTAAGTGTTCGTTTTTCAGTTCTACAGGGATCAGGCTAACCATTCGAGACAGTTGGTAAAAGCCAAGGGTGTACATACCAATTTGACCTTCTACACCATAATTAACCACTCTATTTTTTTTTTTTTTTTCTGGAGAGGTTTTTGCCATAGGGCGCATGCGCTCGCCTGATGGAGAGAGACAGAGAGACAGAAAGCAAGAAATAACCCCCCAGGGGGGATGGCCATGCCGCAATTCCTTCTCCTTCATTCTCCTCTTGGGATCTTGGGCACGCACACACACGTGCCTGACGTGAGTTTTAAGCCACCAGGTCCGGGACATGAACCATGGTCGACTACATGGGAGTCCAGTGACATAGCCATTATTCTAACTGCTGGTCCCACCACTCTGTTTTTCTGAGAACCTATTGAAGGATGAACAAATTCTCCTAGTCAAAAATTATACCTGAGGCTACCCAGGAAAGTCAGCAATTTGGATGCTTAGTAAAAGACTTGAATCTTCATCATCTCATGGTATATCTGGAGGGTTTACTTTAAACTTTAGGTAAAAATTTGTCTCTGTACTAACATCTGAGACATAAAAAGGGTGATATTTGTCAAAGTAATTGTTTTTATCAAATCTTCTAGGCTTGCTTCTGCCTTACTCATTTTGCGTATGGTGAGTATGACGAGAAAGTACGCTTTTAACAATCAATGGCAAAAAAGATTATCTAGGTAGGCCTAATCTTGCCCTTCTACCCCAAAATTAACCCCCTTTTTTTTTTTTTTTTTTTTCTGGAGAGGTTTTTGCCATAGGGCGCATGCGCTCGCCTGATGGAGAGAGACAGAGAGACAGAAAGCAAGAAATAACCCCCCAGGGGGGATGGCCATGCCGCAATTCCTTCTCCTTCATTCTCCTCTTGGGATCTTGGGCACGCACACACACGTGCCTGACGTGAGTTTTAAGCCACCAGGTCCGGGACATGAACCATGGTCGACTACATGGGAGTCCAGTGACATAGCCATTATTCTAACTGCTGGTCCCACCACTCTGTTTTTCTGAGAACCTATTGAAGGATGAACAAATTCTCCTAGTCAAAAATTATACCTGAGGCTACCCAGGAAAGTCAGCAATTTGGATGCTTAGTAAAAGACTTGAATCTTCATCATCTCATGGTATATCTGGAGGGTTTACTTTAAACTTTAGGTAAAAATTTGTCTCTGTACTAACATCTGAGACATAAAAAGGGTGATATTTGTCAAAGTAATTGTTTTTATCAAATCTTCTAGGCTTGCTTCTGCCTTACTCATTTTGCGTATGGTGAGTATGACGAGAAAGTACGCTTTTAACAATCAATGGCAAAAAAGATTATCTAGGTAGGCCTAATCTAATCAAGTGAGTCCTTTAAAAGCAGAGTTTTCTCTTGCTTGGGGCAGAGAGATTTAAAACATGAGAAAGATTCAAGGAGCTTTGTTGGGTGGAAAATGGAGGCAGCCATGTTAGAGGAATGCAGGTACCTTCAGAATATAGAATGGCACCTGGCTGATAGCCAGTGAGGAAATGGGACATCATACCTAAAGATGTGTGGAACTGGGTTTTTCCAAGAACCTAAATGAGCTTGGGTAACTTGTTCTATGATAATAGAAAACTAATTACGCTAGTAATATAGGAGGAGGCTTCAAAGAGTTTGCAAAAAGTGGAAGTATGTGCTATTTTGGTGCAAGTAATTTTGAAACTCATGTATAGTTTTTACATAATACTCATTTCTATGAACTTTTTGAAGCCCTTTATACTTGTTTATGTAATATTACCTATTTAAGTGTAACATTTTTTTTTCTGCGATAAGAAAATGAGGAGTGTAGAAATGAAAGGGGAGATCAGCAGTTAGCATAACGGCTATGTTGCCGGACTCCCATAGATCACGGTTCAAGTCCCAAATCCGGTGATTTAAACTCACGCTAGGCAAGTGTGCATGCATGCCCAAGATCCTGAGAGGAGAATGGAGGAGAAGGGATTGTGGCGTGGTCATCTCCCCTGGGAGATGATTTCTTGCTGTCTCTCTGTCTCTCTCTGTCTTTCTGGTGAGCGCATGGGCCCTATAGTAAAAACTGCTCCCCACCTCCGACCCCCTCCCCCCAAAAAAAAAGAAATGAAAGAGGATTCTTGTTTTCCTTTTGGAAAAACAAAGAAGTCAATTTGTGCTGAGAAACTACTAATTAGTGAGACCTGTCTTCTACTCCACGAAAATAATTTAAAATGTACTGAAGTATTTAAAGCTACAGAATTTTGAGTCAGTGTTCTATCCATAACTCTCCAAAGTACTTTGGATAAGTCAATTTTGAATAAGTTAATTGAGTTTCCCTTATGAAAAGAAGAAAAGAGAAAAATATTGTTTTGTAATAAGAGAAATACCTGAAGTTGCACTTTGGGGAATGTGCTTTTTACTCCTTTAGTTGTAGGGGGTAGCTAATGCCATGACCAGCAGGGTACAGAAGGAAGTGTGTAAGTCATGTATTTCTCTTCAGGATGGTCTTCCACCCTGGACTTTTAATGAAGCCATCAGTAAAGTATTGGGACTATTCCTCTTTGAAAGAGGCAATTTGTTATGGCTCTCCGTTCTTCCTCTTCCCATTTCCTCAGTTTGGATGCATAAGAGCCCATCAGGATGATAATTTACCTAGGTTTTTTAGGCTATATTCTGCTTGTCTACGTTGACAGTGTAGCTCATGATGAGAAACTAAACATATCCTGAAGTTAATGAATAACAATTTGATGTACTCGCTCGTGTCCTGATGCATATGAAAAAATGCCCCAGACCAGAGGACTTCAGCTGACCCTCTTACCAACACAGCAAGATAGGAGTAGGTACATTGGTGCCTTAAGGTTGGGGGGTAAATTATTGACAGCAATTTTGGCTAAGAGTGCCATCCGATAGACACAGCATGACAGAATGGAATAGAGGAATGAAGATTCAAATATAAGAAGAAGGCTTTCCCATCCATCCCTCCACCTCCTGGAAGAATATTAGGTCATTTAAATGGGAATGGAAGAGAGTCAATAATGTGCAGGGCGACCTGTACCCACATTCTCTACTCTATCTTTTGTCCCATCCAGAGCCCCCATCTGGCCCTTCCATGCCATGTAGCAGCTTAGTTCCTTCTGCACACACAAATCTTGTGACAGGATGAATTTCCTGAATTTTGCTAATGGTTGAACTCTGTAGCACCTTTGCCTTTCTCTTCCTAAATCTCTCAACTCTTTCACCCAACCTGTCCCAAAGAGAATCTGTTAATTCCAGTATTAGAGTAACAATAATATTTGTTATGTAGTTTCTGAAATCATGGTTTAAAAAAACAACTCCGCAAAAATAATAAAAGAATGCTAAGCTAGAATTACAAATATTTTATGTTTCATAAAATAATATAATAGCTAATAAACACATAGATCACATTTTAGTATTCACTAAGCTGGCCCTTTTACAAAGGATTTGTTTACCACTGTGTTAAAACTACACGCAAACTCAGCAAGCTATATGCAAATATGTCTTTAGCAATCATGGTAGAAATAGCATGACTATTATTATTACAACTACCACTGTTACTAGAGTTCTTAGCACTATTTACCCAAGTGACTTAGAACTATTTGCAATTGTAAACCAAGAAGGGCTGAGTTTATGCAGATATCAGTAAATAAAGACGGAGTTTTAGATTATTTTTAGCCTTCACAATTTTCTCTTTATATTTTCAGTGGCTACATATGGCTCGAGGCTGTGGGTATTTCTGCCTGTGGTATTACCTGGTGAGGACCTCCACACTGTACAAAAGGGCCTGGAGAGATGTGGCAAGAGCAGCTGTGGCAGCAATCTCCTCTCGGGCGGCAGGTACTGTCTCCACCTGTGATGTCTGCCTCTTTAGCTTCTGTAGGTAACATGGAACTAATGCTTCCAAGACCATCAGCATCTGAAGACTTTAAGCAATGGAAAGAAAATCAAGTTGGGGCCAGCCTGTGGCACGGTCATTAAGGTGACTGAATCCCATCTGGGCAGCTGTATGGTTCAAGTACCAGACCTGGCAGCTTGAAAAAAATGTCAGGTACCTATATGTTCATGCCCCAAGTCCTGAAAGATGGAGAAGAAATTGCAATGTGACCATTCCATATGGAAGGGGCTTTTTCGCCTTCTGCCCCTACCCCCCACTCTCACCCCATGAGTGCATATGCTTTCTGGGAAAATTAAAAAAAAAAAAAAGGAGACTGAGCCACAATTTACATTCTAATTTTGTTGATTCTGTCACTTTCAGGAGCATGAAAAAATGAAAAAAAAAAAAAAACCTCCAAACAGATGAATTCTGAGCCCCTTCTCACCTATTCAAATCAAGAGATGTCAAAGGTGCTAGAAATGTTGACCAACATAATTGATTAAGCAGCTGCTAAAGGCAATGAATCTTGCCTTAAGAAAGTATGTGATCTAGTCAGGGTGTTTAGCCACATAGGGACCTGGCAATGTGAGAAACATGCTGTGCAATTGTGCCAAAAATCCTGAATGGAGGGAGAAATGGAAAAGAGGGTATGGAAAGAAAATCAAGTTGGGGCCAGCCTGTGGCACGGTCATTAAGGTGACTGAATCCCATCTGGGCAGCTGTATGGTTCAAGTACCAGACCTGGCAGCTTGAAAAAAATGTCAGGTACCTATATGTTCATGCCCCAAGTCCTGAAAGATGGAGAAGAAATTGCAATGTGACCATTCCATATGGAAGGGGCTTTTTCGCCTTCTGCCCCTACCCCCCACTCTCACCCCATGAGTGCATATGCTTTCTGGGAAAATTAAAAAAAAAAAAAGGAGACTGAGCCACAATTTACATTCTAATTTTGTTGATTCTGTCACTTTCAGGAGCATGAAAAAATGAAAAAAAAAAAAAACCTCCAAACAGATGAATTCTGAGCCCCTTCTCACCTATTCAAATCAAGAGATGTCAAAGGTGCTAGAAATGTTGACCAACATAATTGATTAAGCAGCTGCTAAAGGCAATGAATCTTGCCTTAAGAAAGTATGTGATCTAGTCAGGGTGTTTAGCCACATAGGGACCTGGCAATGTGAGAAACATGCTGTGCAATTGTGCCAAAAATCCTGAATGGAGGGAGAAATGGAAAAGAGGGTATTGTGGCATGACCATTCTCCATGAGGGTGTGTGTGTGGGGGGGTGCTTTCTTGATTACTCCCTCCTTTTCTCTTTCTCTCTGTCTATCTCTGGCAAATTAAAAACAATGACAACAATAACCACAAGAAACCTTTTCTAAAAGGCTGGCTTCCTATAGCTTAAGTAATTCTATAGCAAGGCTCTATGGAAACAGCCCTTGTGGTGAGATCTGGCAATGCCTGCTTATTAAGTGAGTGAACAACACTCACTGGCTTGGGTCCACACTATTTTGTATTGGGAAGTCAGAAATATAAAAATATTATCTTACTGACCGGCAGATGGCATAATGGTTTCATTGCTGGACTCCCACACAGCTGACTGCTTTTTGAGTCCTAGACTTGGCAGCTTTGAAACTCATGCTGGATGCATGTGCATATGTGCTCCAAATCCCAAAGAGAGAGTGGAGAAGAAGGGATTGTGATGTGGCCATCCCCCCTCAGGGGGATGATTTCTCACTTTCTGTCTCTGTGGTGAGTGCATGCATCCTATAGCAAAAATCTCTCTCAAAAGGAAGGAAGGAAGGAAGGAAGGAAGGAAGGAAGGAAGGAAGAAAGAAAGAAAGAAAGAAAGAAAGAAAGAAAGAAAGAAAGAAAGAAAGAAAGAAAAGAAGGAAGGAAGGAAGGAAGGAAGGAAGGAAGGAAGAAAGAAAGAAAGAAAGAAAGAAAGAAAGAAAGAAAGAAAGAAAGAAAGAAAGAAAAGAAGGAAGGAAGGAAGGAAGGAAGGAAGGAAGGAAGGAAGGAAGGAAGGAAGGAAGAAATATTATCTTAAAGGGGAGATGAAAATTAAGTAGCTATTATTCAAGATGATTTCCCATAACTCCAAAATAAATCTTTTGCAGGGAGATTCCGCTAGTTGAATTTAGGTTTATAACTTACAGATTCTAGAAAATAACAAAGACTGGTTGATCTCCTGGAGACCCCAAATCCAAGATTTTCTTTGATTTATTCTCCTTTCTAAAAATACTGATTAGTTCCAGCTATGGACTTTGTCAATATTGAGTACTGGCTGCTACTTCTGGTACTGTAACTCTTAAATTACTGTTCTCAAGGCAGGAAAATTGCAATTTTCAGAATTTGATGGATAGGAAGGCAGAACTCTGATACTCTTGAGTATGACTACATCACTGACAACTTAGTTAGTGAGGCAATATTTTTGAATCTTTCAATTTCTGTTGTAGCGTACAGACATTCAGTATATATTGAGTGGGGATTGTATCTGATTTACTTTGCTTAGCATTAAATCTTCTATATTCATTCACTCCGAATCAAGATGACAGGGTCTTAGCATTCTTTATGAACGAGTAGTATTTCATAGTGTATATATGCCACAGTTTTTCCAGTTCATCAGTTCTTGGGCATTTGGATTGATTCCAAGTCTTAGCAATTGTGAATAATGCTGCAGTAAACATGGGTGTGCAAGTATCTTTCTGATTATTTTCTTATCTGTTGGGTAAATACCAAGGAATGAAATTACTGGGTCATATGGTAGAACTATCTGTAGGCTTTTGAGGGACCTCCATGTTGTTTTCCACAGTGGCTCTACTAACATACATTCCCACCAACATTGTGAAAGGGTTCACTTTTCATCCTAGCCTCTCTAGCACTTGTTATTCCTTTTTTTTTTTTTTTTTTTATCATAGCCATTCTGACTGATGTTGTTATATCTCACTGTGGTTTTAATCTGTATTTCCCTTATGAGAAGAGATGTTAGAACTTTTTTCATTTGCATTTTAGCCATTTGTATATCTTCCTTAGACAGTTGTCTGTGTCACTCATCTGCCCATTTTTAAATTGGATTATTCATTTCCTGTGTGTGGGGGGCACTGCATAATAATAGGAAAGACGTGTAGATACCAGAAACTGTATGGCAGAAGAGTGGGTAATAGAAGGTGGGTGGGAGGGGCTCAGGAAAGAAACTTAACAAATGCAATATTTTAACATTCTCTGTTGAAAACGATGTATATAGTAATATCCTACTAATTGTCACATACTACACATATACCTCAAAAAACATATTGTGAGCTATAGAGATGTACAATGATTCAATGTAAAAAATAAATCATAAAATAAAATGAGGCAATAAGTCAGTTCTGTTTCCTATAATAAAAGTATATTGTTGAAGACTAATTGTCTTATTAGAAAGGCTGGACTAAAAAAAAAAAAAAAATTCTAAGAAAGGGTTGAATGTTGAGCCAGCCTTGTGACCTAGTGATTAAGAGAACTAGACTTGGGACCAGCAGTTAGTATAATGGCTATGTTGCTGGAGTCCCATGTAGTCGACTGCGGTTCGAGTCCTGGGCCCAGAGGCTTAAAGTAAGGCTGGGCATGTGTGCATGCATGCCCAAGATCCAGAGAGGAGAATGGAGGAGAAGGGATTGCGGCGTAACCACCCCCCCCGGGCGGTGATTTCTTGCTTTCTGTCTCTCTGTCTCTCTCTGTCTCTCTGGCGAGTGCACATGCCCTATAGCAAAAACCTCTCTGAAAAAAAAAAAAAAAAGAGAACTAGGTCTCATATGACTGATGTGGTTCTAATCCCAACAATGAAGGCTTGGAAAAACATGCCAGGTGTATTTTTGTGTGTGTCCAAAATCCCAACAGGACGAAGAAATGGAGGAGAAGGGGTTGTGGTATGACCACATCCCAATGGAGAGTGTTTCCACCATCTCCTTTTCTCTGTCTCTGGTGAATACACATGCCCTCTGGCAATTAAAAATTCAAGTGTTGAAAGTATCAGAGAGAAGTTGTCTACCAAATATCTCTTGGAGGTACCAGGGTTCTGAAAACAAAGAAGCATATTCATCTCCTCCAGAGATATGGAGCATTTTATTTTCCCAGACATTTTTCGGTTGTAAATTATGGTGGAAAAAGAGGCTAACGACAATGCAAACAGAAATGTTGATGAGCTATGAAGCCAAGCAGAATTTCCAGAAATCTTATGGATGTAAGAAAATATTAGGTCATCATATATACATACATATATGTGTGTATATATGTATATATACAATTACATATATATATACATACATATATGTATATATAATTGCACATATATATGGATGTATGTATATATGTGTCTACATATATATGTCATAAATGAAATAAGTAAAGTCATAAAATAAGAGAATGGAGAAAATGAGATAGAGATAATAATAGAAGAGTTAATGGTGAAATTTTCTAAAATTCTGAAAGTTGTGAATTTTTACACCCAAAAAGCATTGTGAATCTTGGAGTATAAAAACAAAGAAAATCACAACAATGAAACTCATGAAGACCCAAGGCAAATAAAAAATGTAAAAAGTAGTCAAAAAGAAATACATTAAATTCAAATGAGCAATCTAAGTGTGCATTTCAGTAAGTTAGAAAACAACAAATTAAGTCAAAAGAAAATGAAAGATAGAAAAGAATAAAAGTGGAGGTAAAAAGCAGAAAACAAACCTACAATAGCAAAAATCTACAAAGCCAAAGATACAGATTCTTTGAATAGGAGACCAAAATTAAAAATATTCCTAGAAGGACTGATCAAATAATCAGCTCATCTTCCTCCCTCCTGGAAGACCTTGCTGACAAAGTAGGATTTTTAATAGAAATGATGTATTTATCAGATCAGAGCCAACATTCTAGAGTTGGGATGACTCACTCTCTATGTGAGTCCTTTAGTTTCCTGAACTTGGCAAGATGAAAGTCAAGATTTATATGCTTGCTCTTTGTGTTTCAAAAGCTCTTATTACTACTTAAAGGAGTTTTTAAAAATAGTTTAAATATCTGTTATGGGGGCAAGTAGGTGGTATAGTGGTTAAGGAGCTAGACTCCCACATGACTGACTGCAGTTCAAGTCCCAGACCTGGCAACTTGAGGATCATGCTGGGCACATGTGTATGTGTGCCTATAATCACAGGAGGAGGAGAGACTGTGGCATGGCCATCTCCCTTGGGAGGTGATTTCTCATTTTCTTTTTCACTATTTCTCTCTATGTCTCTCTCCAGCAAGTACATGCACACTATGATAAAAACATTAAAAAAAAACTATTATGAAATTTTTCTTTGACTTGTATTACATAAGAGGATAATAATTTCTTTTAAAAATTATTTATTTTTATTTATTATTATTATTTCTTTTTAATTTGATCAGAAAGAAACAGAGAAAGAGAGAGGAAGAGATGGAAAGTGAGAAAGTAAGTGGCCAAGTCAGGGACTTGAACTATGGTTGGCTATGTGAAGTACAGTGACTTAACCATCACACCACCTCCTGTTCCCAGGGACAATATTTTCTAACAAGACTAAACATCTTAGCCTGTGCACAAATTCTAAATTAGGGAATTTCAAAATAATAAAGACCTACTATTAGTTCAGAACCTCTGCTATGACAAGTTTTCTATTTAGCCTTTTTCTTTTTAAGTTTTTGTCATATGGTACTTGTGCTTGCAGGAGAAAGACAGACAGAGGAGAAGTGAGAAATCATCATCTAGGAGGATGGCCATACCACAATCCCTTCTCCTCCATTCTTTTCTTGTGATTTTGGGCATGCACACATACATGCCTGGTGTGTGTTTCAAGCTGCTGGATCCGGAACTCAAACTGTAGTCAGCTATGTGGGAGTCTGACACTTTAGCCACCATGGCACCTGCTAACCCCCTAGATTTAGCTTTTAAAAACTTACTTGCCAAAATGTTACAGACCGTTATTTCCAAATATAACTTTTGGTTTTGCTCTATTTTATTTCCATTTCTATATTTTCTTATCACAAGGCTTATGAGGGGCTGGGGTTACCTTCTGAATGATTCAGGAGCATATGCCACCACAGTAACACAAAGTTTAATGGCTTCACTGATAGAGAATGTCAGATCTTCATTTCCGTAGCAGAAATCTGAATGCACAAAAATTAAGACATATACTCAGAGTGGATTCCACCGGGGAGAAAGAAGAAATCATTAAAAGGAAGAGCTCCTAATATTATCTTTCATCTCATTTATATTTTATAGGCTGTTCTTTGTTAGATTTTATTCCTAAAATAAATGATTAAGTAAGTAAGTAAGTAAACAAATAAATAAATAAAAATTAATTTATTTAAAGTAAATGAAATTCTGTTTTCTACTTTTGAATAATTGGATATAAAATAAAAAGTGTTTTGAGGTAATTATTAAAATTTTACCTAATACAAGACATTGAAGGCTAATTATAATAAATGATCTAAAGTAAAACATGAGACTTTAGCTTTGAATTATCTCTAGTTATACACCTTCCATGGTAATAAAAGACCATTTTGGAGGGTTATTCATTTAGAATTATCCAAGGTTACACAGCTTTCTGAAAATGACAATGCTGGAACAGGAGTCTACTGAGCATCATTTTCATATACTCTGCATAGCAGAGAATTCCTTACTCTCTAGCATCCGCAAGAAATTTAAGAAAGAAACAAGAAAAAAATGTGCTTATTCAGTTCACACCACTGTTTCATTCATCTTTTCTATTTTGAGTTACTTCTGTATATACATATATATGTGTGTGTGTATATGTATGTGTGAATGTACAAACAATTACAATGAGCAAAAGAATGTCAAGGGAAGTTTTGCTTTTACCTAATGACTTAAGAGGCTTCTCAGCTTTGACCAGCTCTAAGATGTCTAATATGTCAGTGGTCTCTCCCTCCAGGGACTGCAGCAAGTCAAACAGGCACTGAGCTGACACACCTTTGTTTGGCCCATTATTGGAAGCATCCTGAATAAAAGAAAAAAACGTTGATTGACTTCTACGTCCATACTAGTGTGATTTGATTAGAAATTCAAATTTCATAAACACTGCCATTAACAATAGTGATGTCTATCTGGTTTTCAGGTTACATCATTCTGCATCCAACAATGTCAGATGCTTTTGGAGTTGTACTTCATTTTTAAGGAATCTGTTAAATGTGAATCTGGTACGAAAAGAGATATTCATGGAAACTCAGAAACACAACATATATGAACCGCCGGAAAATTTCATAGTAGTAGTTCCTATGATCTAAGAGAATAAAACTAAGGAAATTTCTGTAATGAATTGGTTGAGTACTTCAAATATGTTTAGGGAACAGATGCTTATTTTAACTAACAACTCTAGGAATTTCACAGGTCTCATTTGATATTATAATTCCAAAATGGAAATACCTGTCATTTCAAATCCATTTAAAATGGCATTGACTTACTCATTAAAACAAAAAATCCTTATCAAGTTCCTATGTGCCAAGTTATAGCAACCCAAGGCACAAACCAAAAAATCCAAACAACAAAAACTAAAACCAAACAAACAAGTAAACATAAAAACAGACAAAAATCTTGCTTTCATGAAGCTTAAATTCTGTTGGTGGGGTGTGGTAGAGATATATATTATACATATATAACATCATATGATGGTAAATGTTCTAAGAAAACTAGAAATAAAGTGGGGTAGGTGGTAGAGGGGTACAGAAAAAAAAAGGAAATCAGAGGACCTTCCCTTTCCTTTTATTATTTTCTAGCTCTTTTATGAATTTAACATGAATAAAAAAATCAGAAAATTGAATCATTTACATCCTAGGGGCTGAGGTGAGTGTTCAAGAGAAATGTTGAAGAAAAATAATTTTGTTGTTGAAATAGAAATGATTTAAGGATTCATGGGGTGGAAGAAACTGACAACTTTTTCTGATTTGTGTCCTTGCTTCCAACTTAGGACCAACCACAGAAAGCCAAACTACCAATTCTCTCCATGTAAGCCTTTATAGTATCCCTGTCTGCCAGGCTTCAATCAGGGTACACTTTAAGCATCCCCTTTTTCCATTATAAAGCTTTATCCATCTTTTGCCTACCTTCCAGTCTCTGCCAAAACACAGTATTGGCTGACTCTGAATACATAGCCTTAGTTTTTGGTTGGTCTTTGTTTAGTCCCACAGAGCATACTCACAGGAAATTCCAGGAGAGGAGCCACACTTGCAAACAGCTGGAGCACAAACGGCTTCCGGTGTAGAATGTAGAACTGGTGACAGGCAAATTCAATGGCTTGACGCAACTGGGGGTTGCTTTCGTAGTCAGAGTACACCTGTGGAGTAACGCCACATGTTCAGAAGATGCAGCAATAACACACTGAAGTTGTATTTGTTTTAAAAAACGCTGTAATAACACACTGAAGTTGTATTTGTTTTAAAACTCACAACCATAGAAACCATGAAGGGAAATGGTAAATTCCATAAACTGGTGGAGGTGAGTGTAAATGGGATACTTGTTCTTGAGAGAAATACAGTAATATACATAAAAATTCGAAAACTATACATTTTTCCAGAAAGTTTGTGACTAGGAATTTATCTCAAGAAAAACACTGAACAAATGTACAGAGGTGTATACATAAGAATGTCTGCTGTGAGACTGTTTATAATGGTGGAAAATTTTAAACAACCTAGATGATTCATAAACAGTGGTTGGTTAAGTGAATTATGCTGCATGAAAACAATGGGATACTATGTAGTCATTTAAAGCAATGCTAGAAAGCTAAATACAGCTACATAAAAAATGTCCATGATAGTCTTAGTGTTACATAAAAAAAGTAGGCAACAAACTCAAATATATAGGATAAGCCAATTCTTTCTTTTTTTTAAAAGTGTGTGTGTGTGTGTGTGTGTGTGTGTGTGTATGTGTCAGAGAGAGTGCCAGGATTGACAAGAAATATAAATCATGGCTATATGGAAGGATTATAGATAATCCTTATTTTCTCTTTTGACCTTATCTTTTGAATTTTATAATGATCCTAATTGCTTTTGGTAAAAGGGAAAAAGTATTATAGGGTCCAGCAGGTAGCATAGTGGTTAAGATGCTAGACTCCCATATGGCCGATGATAGTTCAAGTCCCAGGCCTAGTGGCTTGAAACTAATGCTGGGTACATGTGTGTGCTTGCCCAAAATCCCTAGAGGAGAATGGAGAAGGGATTGTGGCATGGCCATCCCACTCAGGGATGGTTTCTTGCTTTCTGTCTCTCAGTCCCTCCAGCAAGCACACACATGCCTTATAGCAAAAATTTTTTAAAAAAATATTTAAAAGTAGAGAAAACTGTAATGATTTAAAAGTAGAGCAAAGCATCTTATAACCATGAAAGTAAGTTTCTTGCTCATTTGGTGGATCAAACTCCACATTACACAAGCATGTATTACTTTCATAATTTTTGTTAAAACTTCTCAAAGAACTAGGGGTCCCCCAGACCCTCTTAAATGTAGCCAGATACACATGAGACATGTTCCTATTAAATTCACTTCTCAAATCCATCATACCAAATTTAGTCCCAATGAAAATCTCTTCAGATAGAGGTCAGGGAATCTCTTGGGAAAAACATCAGCTGAAAATTGCCCTATATTTCTCTTAAGAAAAGTGGTTCTCAAACTTTCTACGGTATCAAAACCACCTGCAGGTCTTCTTATGAGCATGGATTACTGAGCCCTGACCCCAGCGATTCTGATTCAGTAGATTTGAGATGAGGCCCAAGAGTGTGTGTTTCTCACAAGTTCCCAGGTGATGCTGACATTGCCAATCCAGAGACACACTTTGAGAACCACTGGTCTAGAAGAAATGGAGCCTTCTGTGGGTCCTAGAGCCAGAGAGGAGCAGGTTTTTAATCAGGCTTGTGCATGCCAACCTTACCTACTACCTTAATGTAAGCTTCCTCAAGTCAACGCTCAGCCACAATCAAATTTTAAAAATGTTCAAAATAAGAGAGAAACTGGTGTGGAGCTAAAGTATACCAGACAGAAGTGCACAAGCATACAGCCCCAGAAACCTACCTCAAATAGGTAGGGAGAAGCAAGTGCTTCTCCAGATACCAAGAAACAAAGCAAAGCCTCAAGAAATAGGAGAAAATCAGAAAGTATATCTTCCCTCAAAAGATTATAGCAACTCCTCACCAATATGGAAAAAAACACACACACACAAGAAATCCCAGAAGTCACAGAACTAGAATTCAGAATATTCATTGTAACAAAACCCAATGAGAAGAAAAAATGGACAACAAACTATAGGAGATTAGGAGGTCATTCCGTCATATGAAGGAGGAATTCTATAAAGAGATAGACACCCTAAGAACATCAAATAGAACGTCTGAAGATGAAGAATACAATTCAAAAAATCAAAATCTTTTTTGAACACATCAATAGCAGATTGGACCACACAGAAGGAAGAATCTTCAATCTGAAAGACAAAGCCTCTGACTTAATCCAAACTACAAGAAAATAATGAAAAAATAACTCCCAAAAATGAGGATAATACAGGAAATACTAGACACCACTAAAACCTCAAATATCTGAATAATGGAAATTGCAGAAGGTGAGGAAGCTGATAAAAGCATAGAAAGTCTCTTTCATGAAATACTGCCTGAAAACTTTCCAAATATAGAGAAACACAAAGAAACATGAAGTCATACAAATCCAGGAAGCACAAAGGACACCAAATAGAATCAACATAAGAAGATCCTTTCTGTAGCATATGACAGATTGGTAAAAAATCAAAGACAAAGGCAAGATTCTAAAAATGGCAAGAGAGAAGCATCAAGTTACTTACCAAGGCTATCCTATCACGCTAACATCAGGTTTTTCAACTGAATGATGCAGGCAAAGAAAGAATGGGAAGATATATTCAAAACTCTAAAAGAAAAACAATTTAAACCAAGCATACTATAGCCAGCAAGATTATCCTTCAAGTGGGAAAAACAAATAAAAACAGTCTCAGATAATAAAAACTTCAATAGTTTGTGAAAGCTGGACCAGCTCTTCAAAAAGTACGTAAGGGAGTACTATATCAGGAAAACGAAAGAGACAAATAGAAATAAGATAATACAAAACAACCAAGAAAATGGCTAGCAAAATGACAAGAATAGGTCTGCAAATATTGATAATAACACTGAATGTTAATGGATTAAATTCTCCAATGAAAAGACACAGATTGGCTGAATGGATATAAAACCAGGAGCCCTGGGACCCAGGTGGTTAAGGTGATGGATTCCCATGTGGTCACTGTGGTTTGAAACCCAGACTCGAATCTTGAAACTCATACTGGGTGTGTGTATGTGCATGGCCAAAATCCCGAGAGGAGGAGAAGGGATTGTCGTGTGGCCATCCTCCCTGGGAGTGTGTGGGGTATGTGTGTGCAGTTTCTCCCTTTCTGTCTCTCTGACTCTCTTTGTCTCTCTAACAAGTAAATGCACCCTATAGCAAAAAAATTTAAAAATAAAAAATAAAAAAAATCTAAAAACCCACAAAAAAACAGAAACAAATAAACAAAAACCAGGAGCCTTCTATCTGCTGCCTATAAGAAACACACCACTCTAATAAAGATATACATAGACTGAAAGGAAAGAGCTGGAAAACAATATTCGATGCAAACAGAAACCAGAAAAAGACTGAAGTTGCAGTACTGATACCAGACAAAATAGAGCTCAAGACAAAACCTATCAGAAGAGACAAAGAAGGACACTATATAGTACTAAAAGGGAAAATTCACCAAGAAGATATAACACATATAAATATCTATGCACCCAACATTAGAGAACCCAAATATGTGAAAGAAAGGAAAGAAATAATAGATTCAAGCAGAAATAAATGAAATAGAGAACAAAAGAAATGAAACCAAATGCTGGTTCTTAAGAAGATAAACAAAATTTACACATCATTAGCTAGACTAATCAATAACACAGAAAGGAAAGAGATAATAAAATCAGCAATGAACCAGGCATTATTACAAAAGCCATAGCACAAATACAAAAGACCATGAAAGAATACTTTGAGTGACTATACGCGAACAAACAAAAATACCTAGATGAGATGGACAAATTTACGGACACATATAATCTACCAAGACTGACCCAGGAAGAAACAGAAAGCTTGAATAGACCAAAACAAGCAATGAGATTGAATCAGTAATAAATAGCCTCCCAAGAAAGAAGAGCCCAGGGACCAGCAGATGGCATAGCCGTTGTGTAGCTGGACTCCTCACATGGCTGACCACAGTTTGAGTTCTGGACCCAGTGGCTTGAAAACGTGTGTGTGCATGCTCTAGCAAGCAAACGCAGATCCTGGGAGGAGAATAAGAAGAGATTGCAGAGTGGCCATCCCCTCAGGGATGTGATCCCTCTCACCGCGTCTGTCTCTCTCTCCTGGAGGTGCAAGTACACTGAGGCAAAAACCTGAAAAAACAAAAAATGAAAGAAGGAAAGAAAAAAGAGCCCAGGTCTTGATGGCTTCACTTCTGAATTGTACGAAACTTTTAAAGAAGAATTTACCCCAATTCTCCTGAAACTATTTCTAAGGATCCATTTATACTGGGTAAAGACCATTTTGTGTGGTATAAAGATGTACAGTGATTAAATATCAATAAAAATAATAATTATTGTATAAAAAATGTAAAAGTATATTCCAAATCTGATCTCAGAACCAAATAGAATATTATGAATTCTTGGAAATTTATTGGGGGATTTCATTTAGTGCCATCTCTTATTACAAAAGAGATAATTCCATTGTTAAAAAGTTTCAGTGAAAATACTGTTTATCTACTAGATGTCAGCAGTACTCAGATTAATTTTCTGGCTGGAGAGGAGATTCCAGGCACCTGCAACATGGTGGGAAGAATCCACTGGTAGCCACTGAGAGAGAAGAGGTGATTGAAGTGCACAGCAGTGTTGATAACTGTGGCAGCATACTGCCTAAGCAAGGCACTGTCTTCTGGGTGCAGGATCAGAGCTCCGTTAAAAACATTGAGAAAAAGCATGATTTCATCTCCCCAGGGAAATTCGCTTGGCATGCCTAGGAACATCTCCTCCAGGAGCTGGATCCACAAGCTTTTCTGAAGTGTGTCAAGGCCAAACAGTTCCTTCCCAGCTGTGAGAACATGAAAACAGCAGAGACAAGAATTATCCCCACATCAATGATGTCAGCATGAGAAGACAAACCCGAGGTGCTGCTGTTTTTCTACCACTCCAGCTCTGCGTGGTGAAGACCTGCTGAAATGCTTCTCGGTGCAATATTGTTGGCATTGGTATAACACTCCCTAGTTCTCAAACGACTTTCATCACCTCTTTGATTTAACTGTGGGCAAGACAAGGCAGGCATTTTCATCATTTTGCTGTTATTAAGTGGTAGCTTGGAGAATAAGTTATTTATGCTGGAAAATGGCGTATATCTGAGGAGCTAAAAAAGAAGATTTTAAGTGTTCCTAACACAAAGTAATGACCAATGGTTGAGATGACTCTGATTTAATCATTGCCCCTTGTATTCATGTACTGAAAAATTACATTGTACCTCTATGAATATGTACAATTGTTATATGTTAATGTTAATTGTAATGTTAATATGTAATATGTTAATATGTTAAAACATACATTTTTAAAAATGCCCTGAAACTTGCAGGTGGAAGGTGGAGCTCAGCAATCTGTGTTTTAACAAATACTCTAGGTAATACTAACACACACTCAGGTTTGACAACTACTGGTTTATAGAACTGGCTAGGGGTTAAATTAAGTTATTTTCCAGTTGAGAATGAAGCAAGAGCCAAAAGCACAGGATAGGACATTTCTTGTTGGTTACCTTGAGGATCACTGAAAAGTGAAAACTCGGCATCAATAGCACTTCGAGGGAATGAGGGCAGTCGGAGGAGGTCTTCCTGAAGCATGGAGACATGGGACTGTTTGTGGGCTGTGGGGATCTTCTGGGTTAAGGAAATGAGAAACAGCACCCGTCCTACTTCCTCTAGCTTCCGAGTGAACACCTAGCAGAAAACGAAGACAGGAGCAGACAAAAAGCAGAGTTGGGAACTGTGAAATTAATACACATGAAGAAATTGAAGTGCAATCTTCAATGGCAAACGATCAAAATAAAAGGGAGGAGGTGAATGAGAATAAATCTTTTTTTGCTTTTAACATCAAAAGAGAAAGCAATACTTAATTGACTCTCGCTTCCTGCTTCTGCCTGTTCTACAGAAGTGTTTCTTCTGGGGGTTGTAGGCTGGATGAGTACATGGCCAGCATTGTTAAGAACAGTTCATTATTAAATACAGCCCATTTATTTGGATGTCATAGTGCAGTATCTTCTCTAACAGCTGATCGGTCAGCTCCAATTGCTTCTACCATTTCTGTTATGCTTTAAGCTGTTTTCTGGGTTTATCTCTTTAAAAAAGACTGATATTGGACCAGCCCCATACTGGTTAGGTGCTATGTATTAGAAGCTGGATCCCATGTGGCCAGCTATGGTTGGAATCCAGGCCAGCAGCTTGAAAAATATACAGGATCTGTGCATGTGTGCCCAAGATATTGATGGGATTAAAAATGGAGGAAAAAAAGGATTGCAGCATGACCACAAATCTGTACTCTTGATAGGTACAGAAAAGTGGAAATGACTGAGTATACTGAAATTCTTTATAATCAGTTTAGAGATTTTATTTAAAAATGAATATAATACATTGACATTATTAAAATTGTTTTGTTTTTATAATTGTGTACTTAATTAAGGTATATTTTGCATGCAGATTCTCTTTAAGCTCAAAGTCTGATTTGAGCTTAGATAGGTGAACATTGTTCTGGTCTTCGATCTCAAAGTACAACTGCCCGATTATGTCTCTTCCTGTTTTAAAGGCAATTAGTAACATTCCCAAGGTCAGATTCTGGTCAGTGGCAGTGCTGGGATGGAGTCCAAGTTTCCAGACCTTCATACAATGCATTGATTTAGAGCATACTACGTTTATTCCTTTTACTTTTTTCCATCTAGTGTAAACTTCTGTTATCACTCTCCAACAGGTACGTGATGTGTACTTCTATTCCTGCTTTACAAAGATGTGAAGTGAAAGCCTATACTTAGAAACTGGAGGGTAAGTAAATTAGATTTCTAAAATTATACCTAATTATTCATAGCATTACTCCAAGTGAATTTTTTTTTTCTTTAGAGGTTTTTGCTATAGGACATATGCACTTGCCAGAGAGATAGAGACAGAGACAGTGAGAACAGTGAGAAGGAAAGTGAGAAATCACCTCCCAGCAGGTATGGCCATGCTGCAATTATTTCTATTGCATTTTCCTCCTAGGATCTTGGGCATGAATGCACATATGCCTAGTGTGATTTCCAAGCCACTCTGTCACCCATGGGGACTCAAACCATGGTCGACCATGTGGGAATCCAGCGATGTAACCACTATGCCATCTGCTGGGTCCCAAGTGCATGTTTTTTAGTACCTTTACTCTATGATCTGTTTTTATAAAACTTAACACACTATTTTGGGGAACTGAGAGAGGGCCATCCATCCAGTCTCTTCAGAGAGTATCAAAATGGAATCACAGACTCTCAGGGTTGACAACACATCACAGACGATCTCCCCCAACAACATGTCCAAACTGTAAAGTGGCAATCAGGCACCTGTTTCTGAATGAGCTCCTGTCCCTTCTCTGGGTGCATGTGTACAAGGTTCAGCTGTGGAGACACTGACCTCCGGAAAGGATAGATATCTCGAACATAGGTCTGTGGTGGGTTGCACAAAGAGAGAAAGAGTGCAAATTATTACACTTTTATTCTCATTTCCTCATTACTCAAAGATTAAACAGACAAAATTTTTCATTTGTTTTCTAATGGGTTTGATTTTTCTATTTTCATGGTCCCGAATTCCACAGAAACCTAGAAAATGTGAACTCTCCAATCCCCCCCGCCCCCGCCACACAAAGGAAAACTACAAACTAACCAGGCTTAGCACCCTTTCCAAACATAGGGTGCTGTATCAGGGCAGTTTACCAAACAACATTGGAAGGAAGATGTCACTGTAAAGTGATGTCAGTGGTTATCCTGAGGTGCCCTGTGCTCATTAAGTAAGGTCATTGTGGTCATGCTTCACATATTGCAAAAGAGAACCAGTACCTCATTAGACTTCCAAGTGGAAACAATTAGCATTGGGTCATCGGAAAAGTCGTGATGCATTTTTGTATAGAGAAACATGAGCAAATATGTCGTGACTTTTCTAAAGATCCAAGATATGGGCCACACAATTTTTCACTTCAGTGTAATGATGAATTATGCACTGACTCACCCGGATTATCTTCTTCAATTATTACATTTACCCTAGTTTAGATATTAATACTATCATCATCACCTTTATTTTATAGACAAGGAAATTAGACAATAGGAAGGAAAAATAGATTGTCCAAAGCCAGTAGGCAGGAAAGTGATGCGACCCAAGTGGCCAGGCTACTAACCTCTAGATAATGATGCCTCCCTGATAGCAAGAGGCCCTCAGCAAAAGTATGATGAGCCTTTAGCAGACTCAGCATGAGTTTCATTATTGCACAGTCTCACCTTATTGTAGTGGATAAGGTTCCATCGTTTATCCATGAGAAAGTAATGTGTTGACTGAGATTCTGGGATATTAAAAAACTCCAGACACTCCTAGAACAATGACAACAAGTTTAATACATTTTTATCAAGAACACAATATGTACTAGAAAGTTGAAAGCTATAAATATATATATTTATATATATATGAATGAAAAGGTAACTTCTTACGAAGATATTTATATCTTCTATGTATTGGGTTGTCAGAAAAGTCATGATTCATTTTTCCACAGAAAGCCATTAAAAATAGTCATGACATTTTGGACAACTCAATAGTTTGCATACTATAAATGTATATATATATATGAATGTATTTATATAGTCATTTAAACTGCTCTCACAGAGCCCAAGGATTTACAATTATAATTGAGACTTAGTGATGGACTATGGAGGTACAGTGGCATCTCCTAGTCTCAATCTCAGGAAGAAAGCATGTTTAGTAATATTAAGACCAATACAAACTACACTGCATTGAGTGTTATACACTATATGGCAGGGTTTGTGCTTCCCCTATAGTATTCCAGCCTGGTTGAGAAGGAAAGTGAGACTAGAGAGGTCTTAGCATTTGATTTAGGTCGCACTGGTATGGTGGAACCTGGGTTTGAACACACTACCTGCATGCTATCCTTTTGTTCAACGTGAGTATAAGAATGGAATGACTTTAAGTGTGCTTCACTGGACCTTAGAAATTCTCTGGAGATGTCTGAGTGAAGCCTGAAAGAGGAATAATAAGCCTTTCTACTGAAAAACTATACAAACTTGACAAAGCAAATGTTTTAGAGGCCTTTTCTCTAACACTTAGAGCTTGGCCCAGAGCTGTGTTCCAGCAAACAGAATTACTAAAAGTTTGGATTCCAGGCCAATTACTGTACTCATTTACTTACTACTTTATCTCAAAAACCTAATGGAGTCTTGGGAACCAGCAGTTAGCATAATGGCTGTGTCACTGGACTCCCATGTAGTCGACCACAGTTCGCGTCCCGGACCCGGTGGCTTAAAACTCATGCCGGGCGCGTGTGCGTGCGTGCCCAAGATCCCAAGAGGAGAATGGATGAGAAGGAATTGCGGCATGACCGCCCCCTCTGGGGGGTGATTTCTCTCTTTCTGTCTCTATGTTTCTCTCTGTCTGGCGAGCGCACGCGCCCTATAGCAAAAACCTCTCAAAAAACAAACAAACAAACAAACAAAAAAAACCTAATGGAGTCTTTTGGAGGGGAATGATTGCTATAATTATTATAAAATACTTTCTTGACTCATCTGATTTATTCTTTTTTAAAATTTACTTATAATTATTTATACATTAAATCACTATACATTATTTAGATTGTAAAGAGACTTTACCCAGCACGATACACACCTCAGTCCAGCTCACTTGAGAATGCTATACGGATCCTCATCAACAGATAATAAACCATATCTGTGTCCCACAAATGTCTTACCTCTCTATTTTTTCCCTGAATTTCCTTTTTTATGCTTTACCCCTCTCACACTCTCCTTCCACTTTGTCTCTACTGTCCATAACAATTTTCAATGCATTATGTCCTTTGGTCTTTACTAAGGTACATATTTTCTGCTTGTCTTAATAATTTCTACCAGTCACAAGTCAACTATGTGTAGTTCATCTAGATGCCCACCAAAAGGGTCTCTGGCATGGATCATCTGCTAATAACTAGAGTCTGTCCCAAACCCAGCCTACCCCAGAATGACCACAGTGATGCAAGAAAAAGCTACTAGGCAAAAATTCACAGCATGCCAGCAGAAGTTAGTAACAACACCAGGGTGCCAGGCTTCTTCTGTAGGCCCAACAGTTTTGGCTACTTCAAGGTGGAGATAATATGGAAGTAAAAATGGAGAAAATAGTGGAGCAATTTCAGAAGAGTAAAGAAATGCACACATTCATTTGAAGATGACAATACATTTAATTCCTTTTTTAAAAGAATTATTTCATTTAACCTTATTTATTTGTTTAATTTGACCAGAGAGGGAGAGAGAGAGAGAGGGAGAGAGAGAGAAAGCAAGCTGCCAGGTCTGGAACTTGAATCGCGGTCAGCCGTGTGGAAGTCCAACACCCTTAGCAAACACACCACCTACTGCTCCCCAACATGCATTTAATTCTAAAATGGACATTTAGTGAAGTGGTCATAATCATTGTCCATAAAAATTCGTTGCTATCAAAAGTCATTTCTACCTTCAACAGGGCTTCAAATTGAGTGTCTTCATGGACTGGTAACTGGGTTGGGATGTCACATTCATTCTGTCCATGAACTACCAAGGTTTTGGTACCTACAGAAGGAAAAAGAAACAATAAAGTGACTTTTACTAGAAGAGAGTTTGTATTTAAAGCATATTAACATGTTATGAATAAGCTGACATTTCTACTGTGATTGTTACTAAGCACTTAATGTGAGATATGGACTAATTGCACTCCTTAATTTATAATTAAATATATATTCTAGACATAGATGTACTTATTAAAATAAAGACAGCTACTATTTATGGAGTTCCCAATATTATTACTTGACTTTTACATACAAAGTTTTATGTAAGTCTCATAGCAACCCTATGAAATGGATCTTACTAATTATTTGTATCTTACAAATGAAGAAACAGAAATTAAGTAACTTTTTCAAAGACATGCATTTCTTTTTTTTTTTTTTTGAAGAGGCTTTTGCGCGTGCGCTTGCCAGACAGACAGAGAGAGACAGAGAGACAGAAAGCGAGAAATCACCCCCCAGGGGAATGGCCATGATGCAATCCCTTTTCTTCCATTCTCCTCTCGGGACATTGGGCACACACGCATATGCGCCTGGCATGAATTTTAGCCACCGGGTCCGGGACTTGAACCACAGTCGACTACATGGGAGTCCAGCAACATAGCCATTATGCTAACTTCTGTTCCTGACATGCATTTCTTTAGAGGAAGAGTCAGAATTCAAATTTCAAGCATTCCAACAAGAACTGTATCCTTATATTTTAAATGAGATTACCAGACTATAATGCTTGATAAAATTTCATCAGTTATTGGCAAAACCGAACTAAGTACCTTAGATGGACTTAAATTTTACATTTCTTTTGCATTTTACTTGGCTTGTTGAGGCAGTAGATGTTAGGGTTTCTGCCTTTTTTTTTCTTTTTGGTGATACAGAAATACATTTTATTATCAAACTTCTTTGAGGATATTTACAAAAAGTGAGATGTAGCAAAAAATATTAAAATGTACTAATGGTGTCATTATAGACTACTTAGTACATTATTAAATGCTTTTAGTAAACAATTATTTTTTATACAAACACAACTTGACTTCAAGATAAAAGGTTATGCAGTGTCTGGAGTAATTACTCCATTTTTATCTGACAGGGCATTTATAAAAATTTATAGAAAACATCTTAGGCATGCAACAAAAACAAACAAAAAAAGTGTAATTAATTTCATGGCTTGAAAAGTTGATTATTTAAGTATAGCAAATAAAGATCATTCCAGTTAATTTTACTTTATGCAGTAAACCACACTAGGTTGTCTAGTGACTCATAATTATTCCATTTTGTGCACATTGCTATGAACAGACTTACTTTGGAGAAATTTGAGGAAGCCACCCTTTACCACAGAGAAAATACATTTAGAAAGTGTTTTTTCAAAATTAAATTGGTTTAGTCTTTAGAACCTCTATAGGGGAACCAGCTACTGAGAGATGAGCAACACCTGCTGGAACTATCCCGGAGACAGTACAGCGTAAAAGTTAAGAAGGACTGACCCAATGCTGTCTGGCTTTAAATTCATATACTAACTGTATGAACTTACTGCTCTGCCTCAGTTTTCTTATCTTTAAGATGAGATTCATCACATACCACATGGCTGTTGTGAGCATAAATGAAAACATATGGAGACTTTTGGTCTTAGATAAGAGAGTAACTTCAGAGATCATTCTCTCAGTCTTAGCCTGTTCACAATACAAGAATATTCTTTTTGCTTGCTATCTCAAATTCAATGAGGCAATGGTAGTTAAAACTTAGTTTTTTGTTTATTGATACATTCATACATAGCTGATCTTCATGACAACACTGAGGAAGGGAGAGGCAAGAATTACAATAGTCATTTTACAGACCAGGGAACTAAAGACAAGATTGTCACCCGCCCAGGCCGGCACAGATAATAAGACCAGAGCCAAGACTTAAATCCAGACTTTAGGTTTAACAATGATTACTGAAAAATGAAGGAACAAAAAGCTACTAGATTCCTTACTAGACAATCCCTGAGCTTAAGTTTACTTTGGGGGAAAATGCTAGAAACACTTTTCAAAATAGCCGGTTGCTGGATTTGAAATTTAGAAAGAAATATCATTTCATTCTTGCATTTGCTATGCTGATAATATAGTCCCCCTTCCAAACTCTTTCATGCTCCATCCATGCCTACTCCCACGAACTGCTTAAAATCCTTGATTTAAGAACACTCCACTTATCTACCTAGCCTTCCCATAAGCTAAGGGGAGATAAAAAAGGATACTGTTTGCTCTACAGTGATTATTAACTGACCTTGCACAGGCTTTCCTTCCAGTATCATTTTAATTTTCTCAAATTATTTAACACATAGGTAAAGATAAATAGTTTACAGTTCTGTGCCCACTGAATGATGGAACCCAGCTGTGGTGCCACCAAGCTGTCAGTGGGAACGTGACAGCTTGGCAGCTCGGTGAACTATGTGAAGACTTCATAATCACTTAGCACTTAGACCAGCAGCTCCTACTCCTTGTAGCATCCATTGTCCCACATTACCTTAGAGCCTGTTGCAACACATGCACATGAAAAGTGACAAGTAAAATTCTTATACCGTGGAGGGCATATTCAGAGTTGCAATGCTGAAAAGGTTAGAAATCACTATTTTGGAGGCTTCCTTTGACCTACCGAAGGAAAGTAAAAAAGCCCAGTGTTCTCTTTTTAGACATCTAGGAAAAACCCCTCAATGGTCGAGGCCGTATTTGTTCTATTTCATTCACTAATAACAGATCTTCATGAACATTAAAATGTACCTTGATACTTAATGAGTTGTTTTTAAGCATATGAGTGACAATATGAGTGTTTTCGTTATACTAGAAACTAATCAATTTTGATAAGCTGCAGAAGATATAAATATATAATTATCATTTACCAAATATTTACCATGAGTCAGATATGGAGGCAATTATTTTATATACCGCAGCTCAATTATTCCTCATGATTATGACATATGAATTATATTTCTACTTTAGACATAAGGAAAAAATCTGAAAAAATGATGCTCTTTTTCACTGCTAATAATATGGTTAATGAATGTTAGTGTTGGTTTTTAATACAGGCTTCTTTGTTCCCAGAACCTGCATTCTCCTCCATAGATAATTTATATTTTCCTTTATTCCAATACATGGATTAGCTCATATTTTCTTATTCAGTGCACAAACATAAAGGCTTGGTCAAATCCTCATCTTAAGGGAAAATGAGCTGTCTGGAATGAAAGGAACTGTATCTAGAGTTTATATCACACTTCATGTTCCTTTGTAATTCTCCTTCTTCCTGCTTCTCCGTTTTCCAATTTTTCATAAAGCTGTCTCTCATTGAGTTTACAAAGAACTGGGGTCCATGCCATGCAAACAATATCATTCTCCTTGCAGTGCCAAAAATTCACTCAAAAAGGCTTTCAGTTCAGCTGGCCCTCTGTGATAGACTTAAATAAATCTCCAACCTTGGCAGCGCTTCAAGGACTGATTCACGCGGATCTCTGTTCTGATGTCTCCCTTTTCATCTGGCAACTGCTGACTTTTTAAAGGGCCTATTGTATTTCTTCTGATTGTATTAAACAAAAATTCTTGGAAACACTCAGTGCTCAGAGTCAGAACTCTCATGATTTTTCTCATGAATGGAAGAGCCTCTTGGTCTTTCAAAGGGCTCTATTTATAATGTTATAAAACCAGTAATGTCACCTAAATGCAGTAGTGGATTACCTGGCATTGAAGCTGTCACCAGGAGCTTTACCTCACACTGCTCTTTCTTCATAGTCTGCTTGAGATCCTTGAAGAAGAGGCCTTCCACATAACCCACCACCTCCCACAGGAATGTCAGCGTGGCTGAAATGGCGTCCATCCCCCATTCGCAGGGCGTCCGCACAAAGTACATGATTAATCCCACCTGAAAGTCAGAATAAGAAGAGCTCGCACAGTCACGACCATCCTGAGCTCACAAACTCATTTCCTTGGCTTTTCTTTTAAATCTTCTCCACCTTCATCTGTTCAAATGCTTCTCTAACACTTTCGATGGCAGTAACCTAGAGGGAGTATCATTGGAGAACTAACCAAGCAGGCTACTGTGTAATGCTATGTGTCACTAAGATGTTTAATTTTTAAGGAAAAAGTAAAAGAGCATTTTCTGCAGGTATATTTTATCATTTGGTAGCTTAGCTCCTTTAGCCATTCAAAATTATTGTGTGTGAGCAATTTTTCCAAATGCTCCAAGAATACTTCAGAAAGTTTATGGAAAACATGACATTAAAGTATAGGTTTATTTGGGGCCAAAATATTTTAAAATTCATGTCTTTTATTTTATTTTATTTTTTTTTTTTTGAGGATGTATTTTCGGCGACCTTTTTGATGCCCTCTCTTATTTGCCACTTAGGTTATGTCTAACAGTCTGAACCTACCAGCACTGTGCTAAGTTGGTGAACTTCAAAATTTTTATTTGAGTGTCCTCTAAAATAATTTTGAAAAACTGTGCCCTTTTGCTCATCTTAAAGTGGAATTTTAAGACACAAGTGCTGTGGCAGGGGTGGTAGGGCCTGCTGTGTGATACTGGGGCACACAGGATTCAGGTCAGGGTCATTCTGAATGTGCTGTGTCTACGATCCTGGCTGGCTGGGAAGCTGAGGGGAGGATTGTGGGGTAATGAGATCCTGTCAGGGGTATCTTTCTCCCTGTTTCTCTCTCCTCTCTTTTGCTATCTTTCTTTTTCTATGTCTATCTCTGTCACAGAAGCAAGAAATACATGAACTTTAAAAACATGCTGACATTTAAAATGTCTCATCATAAGTTTAATTTTTGTTAGTAGAAGGGTAGAATATGTTGAACATTCTATATGTTGAAATAAGATGAGAACTGACCATAATTGGAATATTTGGTAAGTTTTAACCATCTTTTTCAATAATGCACAACAAATCGGAAAGAAATAATGTAAAAGATTCCCACTCCCCATGGTCTTAGCAATCATTTCTTTAAAAACGTGGTAGTCTTGGCCAGCAGGTGGTTATGGTAGCTAGATTTCATGTGGCAGACTGCATGATTTGAGTCCTCTACCTAAAGCCTTGAAAAACATGTGAGTATTGTCCTAAATTGCTAGAAAAGAATGAAGAAGAAGGGATTGTGATGTGACCATCCTCCCTACGGAGTGATCTTTCTCTCTCACTAGTGAGCTCATGTCCAAAAATAAAAAAGAAAAAGAAAAAGAAAAAAATTAGTAGTCTTAGAAAACTTTCCAGTTACATTGAAAAAAATCAGTATTATTTTCCTAATCTGCTTTGGTGATTCTAAATGCTACACATCCTGAGGAAGACCAGATTCTTTTTTTTTTTTTTTTTTTTTCCTTAATGAAGTTTAGGGCATGTGTGCTTGCTGAAGAGAAAGATGAAAAAAACGAGAAGTCACTCCCCCAGGGGGATTGGCCATGTCACAGTCACTTCTTCATTCATCTCTTGGGATTCTGGCCACACGTGCACATGCACCTGGCATGAGTTTCAAGCCACCAGTCTGGGACCCAAACCATGGTCGGTCACATAGGAGTCCAACCTGAACTTCTTCACCACCTGCTGGGCCCTGGATTATTTCTCTGTTTCACATGCCTGTCAATGTAGCCTTTGATCTTCAATGTCTGGGATGGTAGGGATGGGTCTTCCTGTGTACAGTAGGAGACTGAGATGGTAGACAGGCTCAAGAAGTGTTAATTCATATTTGTAAGTTGAAGATTTATCCCCTTAAAACTACATGGGCATCAAACCTCTTTGAAAATCTTGTTGCAGGGATTAAGGATAAAGGAGAACAATGGTCTGGGTATGCATTTCCCTCTCCAGTGACCTTGGGAAATGGGTGGGTATATCAGCAAGTGTACCTAGTGGTAACTGATTAGAGGATGACACTGGAGGGACTATCAGTCCCTGTTTAGATCTGCGATAGGGGCTCACCCCAGAACCTTCCCATACAAACATGGATGACATATAAAGTTGGCAGGGATGACATGTAAAATTGGCAGGGAGAGTTGGCATACTTATACTGAATAGGGCCCTGACATTGGATTTGTAATCAAGAGGAGATTTTTGTATGGAGTAGAAAGGACCCTAGGACAAAAGTGGTGGAACGCTTGGCTACAGAGCTTTCCAGATAAAATCACTGTAGGATGGTGTCACTGAGTAGGATGCACTGACCAGGGGACTTCCTGTGCTAGAGCCGTATGGGATTCAGGGTCAGAACTCAGAGAGTCTACAGCACCAGCAAGAACTGAGGTGAGGTTGAGTTTCCCTGAAAACACCTCTGGGAGCAGACGGGTCTTGAGCTACCATGGACTTCAACTTTTAGTTCCAGCTAGGTAGCTATCAACCTGCCAGATGAGAAACATTGTCTCACATGCAGAGAAGACAGAAGAAATACAGGGATAAAGTAGAACAAAGGACTTTTTTTTTTCTCCAAGTCCACACAGTTCTAGAGACAAATGCAGTGGGAAGAGAGAAGACTCAGAGACTAAGCGTTTTAGTCCAAGAGAGACTGAACACTAGCCAAAAGTACTGGCCATGTACGTATGCCTGTGTATGTTTGTGTGGATACATGTATTTCATTAATTCATTTCAATCATCCAAGAGAAAAAGTAAGAGAGAGAGACACTCCCAGCAGGGTCTGCATGAGTGATCCACCCCCAGCCTCAGCTGGCCCAGATCTCAGGCACATGTCTGCTTTTTAGATCCAGCCTCACAGAACAGTGGGTTTCACTGCTCTGCTCCTTCTGGCCCCTGTTTATGTTTTTCTATTACTCTGAACTTAAATCTGGACTAGACACATTTAAATGTTTTTCCTTGCCAACAGGAAAATAGGGACCCAGGAGAAAGCAACCAAATTAGTCACGAACAAAGAAAAAAATATATACAAATTTTCTTTGAACATCAGAGTTGTGGTATAAGTTAAATGTACCATCCTGCTAGGGATCCATATGCATGTAGTTAGCTATTTTCCTGACAATAATAAGGGAGAAAGTAGGAGTTCTCACACAGACATTGATTTGGGTTTGTTTGCCTGGATAAAGGGGCAACTTCAAAAAGTAATCATCATGTCCTAGTCTTCAAACTGTATATTTATTTGGGGTGTAAGGGGAAGAATGTGAAGTTACTGGGGAATCCTGGAGAATTCAGGAAAAAACTGTCAAGGCAGTTTAACACAGAGCTGATAGTTGCAATGGAAAAATGAACACACAAACTCTTTCTAAGGCAACTATGAGTGTGTATACATGTCTGTGTATGTAAAGAGCAAGTTCAGAAAGGAAAAAAAATAACTAAAAATAGTACATACATTTTCTCAATAGAAAACTAAAGTTAAGAAATAATATAAGGGGTCTAATAGGTGGTATGGTGGTTAAGGTGCTTGACTCTCACATGGACCACCAAGTTCAAATCCCAAATGTGGTAGTTTGAAAATCACACCAGGAGTGTGTGTTTGTGTGCCCAAAATCCTGAGATGAGAATGGAGTAGAAAGGATTGCAGGGTAGCCTTCTTTTCTGGGGAGTAGGGGTTATTGCTCACTTTTGCATTCTCTGTCTCTCTCCTATGGCAAAACATAACAAAACAAAACAAATAAACAAAAAAGAAAAAACTAATATAAGGAAGTTGCATACTGCTAGAGAAAGACAGAAAAGAACAAACATATTAACTACCCATCATATGTCAAAATTGTGCCAGACAGGGACTTTCTTATATAAAATATGGTGAATATTTATTTATTTATCTTTAAGGGGTTTTTGCCTTAAGGTAGGTGCACTTGCCAGAGAAAGAGACAGAGATAGTGAGTGAGAGGTAAAAAGAGAAATCACTCCCTAGGGGGGATCACCATGCTGCAATCTCTTCTTTGTTCTCCTCCCAGGATCTTGGACATGTGCACACATGTGTCCAGTGTAAGCTTCAAGTCACTGGATCTGGGACTCGAACCATAGTCAGATAAGTGCGAGTCCAGGACATAACCTCTATGCTATTTGCTGGTCCTTCAAAAATGGTGAATTTAGCCAACCTTGAATCATCATCAGTCACATAATAGATATGCTTTAAAAACAAACAAACTAACTAACAAACAAAAGCTCCCTAAGACTTTTTTCTCATGTTGCTGATTTCTACCTGGAAATGAACATTTATTACCTACTAGCTGTTGAAACTCACCAAGTAGTTGAATAAGATGTGAGATGTCTGAGCAGGAAAGTCTCCAATATTCAAGAGAAGTTTACGCAGCATGTACATTAACTCATCCTGAAAGAAGAGCAAAATTTCAATGTCTCATTCAGCTTCCATGCTGTAGAAAATAAAACTGACTTCTTGAAAAACACGGGAAATATATTTTTCACTGTTGCCCACATATTGATTTTAATTATATTTAACATTTTAATATATGCAACACTTGCTAAATAATTGAATAACTTAGAACAACTTTCCCCTATGAAATAGATTATAAAGATCTCTGAACAATAGCCAAAAAAACCTTTCCTTTTTAAAAAATAAACATTTATGTTGTGAGCCAGCAGGTGGTGTTTTAGGTAAGATACTGGACTCCCACAAGGCTGCGATTCGAGTTCTGGACCTGGTGGCTTGAAAAGCACACTGGAAACATGTATGTGCATGACCAAAATCCTGTGAGGAGAATGGAGGCGAAAGGATTACAGTATGGCCGTCTCCCCTGGGGGGATGAATTCTCAGTTTCTCTCTCTCTTCTCTCTGTCTCTTCCCAGAGAGCATATGTACCCTTGTGGCAAAAAATATTTAAAAAAATTTTACACTGTGGGTATAGGTTACAGGAAAATCACAACAAAGCTGCATATTTAGTTGAGTCAATTTACCATGGCTGCTAGGTGTGATGGGAATGTGAGGAGGACTTATGTTGAGAAACCATTAAACAGAGCATGTTTTGATTCCTAGATTTCGAGTGAATGGGATAAAGAGGGGCTATGAGAGGATATATAGATGTGTATAATTAGTTTTTTCTTTCAGAAACTAAACTTAACCACCCAGTGAATATGATCATAAGATGTAAATGCATGAATTATTTTCATCAACAATGTATTTTGCCATTACTCAGAAAACTACTTTCATTCGGATTAATCTCTTTACAGGGTGGTATGGCAAATTATGATTTCTGATAGATGAAAAGTTTTTCACATATCCTAATAATCTTAGCTTATCACAGACTGCCAAACAATCAGAATTCAACAAATACACCCAATACTAAGAATATTATACTAAGTTTAATCTTCGTTTAAAAGACTGAGAATCTTAAAATAACTTAACAGTCATGTCTAACAATGTACTATGTACCTATGGAGCCATTAGTCAATGAAAAATTAAAAAGAAATCAACAAAGTTTAATACTGTTCATCAACATTATTATTTAAAATGTACTTTACTTTTGGCCATGGATTAGAACACATTGATGGGGCCAAAAGATGGGATAGTGGTTACATTGCTGGACTCCCACTGGCTGACTGTGGTTCAAGTCCCAGACTTGGTGACTTGAAAATTACTCTAGGTGCACATGCAAGCGTGCCCAAGGTCCCAGGAGGACAATGGAGGAGAAGGGATTGTGGTGTGGCCATCCTCCCAGGGAGTGATTTCTCCACTTTCCCTCTCACAGTCTCTCTCTCTCCAGCTAGTGTATGCCCTAAGGCAGAACCTCTAAAAAAAAAAAAAAACATTGATGTTGTACATACAGTACTATAAAGTCCGTAAGTCCTTCTCTTGCTTTTAACAATGTTCACCCTCTTAGCTACATAGCTACACCATAAAGGAAGAAGAATTTACTTGTCTGTTGCTGATGGTCAGTTTTTCCAGAAAATGTCGAAGAACTGTTGATGGATCTTCAATTAGACAATTCCACAAGACTTGTTGGGCCACAGCACTCACTTTTGAAAGGAAAGGAAATTGAACATTTGTCTTAGATAGAGCTAAGTTTATGAGGTAAAGTATATAATAATATATAAGCTTCGTTCCGTATTTTTGGCCTTAAAAGTGTCCTATGAACTCTATTATCTACTGAAAGATAAATATTTGTTTCTTTGTCATTGTCACTGAACATTTTCATATGGAAAGAAAAGATAAGAAAAAAAGGGTAGAATGGTCTTTCAGTATTTAAGATTCAAAGCTTTTGCAAAGAATACCATTGTGAATATATGCAATTGTCTTTATTGTAAAAATCACCCTAATATTAGCAGTGTTAAGTGTTTATTAAATTAAAGTCATATTTCATTGCTTATTGAATGGAGAAGTTCCTAAAATAATTATTTGGCTTTTGAAAATAGGTTTTGGTTTTACATGCACTTAAATTAGAGATGATCTTTCACTGTCCGCATAAATACTTTAGATGGCATCTTCTTCAGCAAGATTAAGCAGTTGAGCTAGTAGTAAGTAGGTTTCCACTTCTAATGAGGAAGTCTTAGGAATAAATAATTAATCCTAATGAGAAATAAAATACTTCTTTGGGGAAAGTAAGTGCCTGGAAGTGCCTAGGTTAAAAAGCAGTGGTAAACAAATATTGGATAGTCTTTAATCCAAACAGCGTTTTCTAGTTCTTAGTTTTCTAAACTAAGAATATAGAATTGAGCATGAATGTATTATTCAACCTATACTTTGGGCAAATTATATCAGTTTTCGTTTTAGAAACTAACCACCCAAATAAAATTAAGAACTCTATAAATAGAGGCCAGCAGGTGGCATGGTCGTTAAAGCACTGAACTCCCACATGACTGACTATGGTTCAAATCCCAGATCTGGCAGATTGCTTTCTTGCTTTCTCTCTCTCTCTCTGGTGAGCATACATGCTCTGTAGCAAATTAAAAAAATAATGATGATAAATAAAATTAAATAAATGTTTCTTTCAAAAGAACTCTATAAATAAATAATGTTAACAAAGAATATATGAATATAAGCTTTATTGTTTCTGTGTTCTTGTAAATAATTAAAATAGGTGTGAATTTCTCTTGGGTTGAAATTGGTTTAGATTTATAATATGATTTTTATTTAAGTTACTAAAATAAGGCAATTGAACACATGGAAAGCACTAAAAAAACCACAAAGGGAAAAATAAAGCAGGTAAGTTCTCCAATCATAAAAACAATGATTAAGTTTGGCATATGTTTTTCATATATATATACTTACATATATTTTTAAATGGCACATAGAAAGTATTTTTAAAGTTTATTTTACTTTATTTTGTACACTCAATCACTATCCATCACTTAGCTTGTAAAGTGAATTTACCCAATATGCATACAGCTCACACCAGTCCAGGTGAGGATATATACACATTATCATCAACAAGTAACAGTCTATTTCTGTGTCCCATAAATGCCTTGCCTCTCTGTTTTTCTCCATAATTTCTTTCCTCAAGAAAATATTTTTAATACTCAGTTTGTTATTTAGAAATGCATCAAATACTTTTCATGCTAATATTCTGGAATTTGACTTTTAATGTGCGCAGAATGCTGTCACATAGAGCTACTATGATTAGTTCCCTATTTTCAGACATTTAAACTCTTTTCCCAATGTTTGTTATTTTAAATAAGGTTCTGTGTACAATGTCCTATATATACTTTTATACAATCCTCAGTACTGCCTGAGGAAATAACTAGATATCAAATCCATGAGAAGGGTTTTCACACTTTCACATTTGTTGACGCATCTTGTGAAACCTTATTCTCCAGTAGAATCCTTGTACTGATGTACATACTTTATAAGCAAGGTATGGGAATGCTCTTTTTTCTATTTTTTCACAAACTATGGGTGTTTCCATTTAAACTATTCTTTACTAATTTTGTAACTGAAATGAAGGTTCTCATTGGTGTTTTAAACAACAGCATTGTTTATGAACGCTATTGGTCTTTCCATCTATATCCTTTGCCAATTTTTCTCTTGAGGTTTTACAAAATGTTATTGAGCTATAAGAGCTTTGTAAAAATATACATTAAGGGGGACCAGCAGTTAGCATAATGGCTATGTCGCTGGATTCCCAAGTAGTCGACCGTGGTTCGCATCCTGGACCCAGTGGCTTAAAACTCACGCCAGGCGCGTGTGCGTGCGTGCCCAATATTCCGAGAGGAGAATAGAGGAGAAGCGATTGTAGCGTGACCATCCCCCCTGGGGAGTGATTTCTCGCTTTCTGTCTGTCTCTGTCTGTCTGGCGAGTGCATGCACCCTACAGCAAAAAAAATCCTCTCCAAAAAAAAAAGAATATTAGCCATTTGGTGTCACAAACATTACTTGTTCTTACCCCTAGTTTATCATTTCACTTTGCAGTTATTCTCTTTAGGTAGTAGCTCTGAAAATGCAATTAAGTAGAAAAGATGGCATTAATGGTGTCAAACTAATAACCAAGAATTTTACGGTGGTCAAATTTACTGTCTGATTTCCATGTGGCCGAATAAGTGTAATTTTGTTCTCTGGTCATCAACAATGTTCCTGGACCCAACTACCTATTATAAATACAATTTCTTGGACTTAAAGGTAGTGGAAGAAGGACATAGAGAAAGTGATAGTAAGGTATGCTACAAGTCTAAACTATAATACGTACATGAAACAATTCAACATGTGGTCAGTAGCTACTTTATTCAACAGCAGCCTGTTGTCCCTTATCAGATGAAGAGCTTATGAACATTGCTCATAGTTTGGACAAACTGTACCTGCTACTCCATCTTCCCGCACCTCACCATCCTCCATTAGATGAACAATGGGAAGTACTGCTGCACAGATGCATGCTGGGAACACTGCTTGTGGGGGCTGAGGCACATGGTGGTTTGGCGTGTGCTCGGTGGTGTGTTCCTCATCTAAAGGAGAAGACAAAATTAAGGTGTTATTCTCATAATGTAATTCCAACGAAACATTTCTAAGATCCAGGACTATCTAGTCAGCAGTATAATCTCAGTAACAAGAAAAGTCAGAACTTGGAAAAAAGGTGTTACATACAAAGTACCATCTGTGTGAAAACACACACACACACACACACACACACACACACACACACACGCGCACACACCAATCAATCCACCTCCTAAGAACTGTCTTTCTTATTATTTGTAAAGAAAGAGAAGCACAGACATTTTGGGAGGTGGATCAACCATAACATTAAATCAGAGAAGACAATATCCCAAGGGGAGATTAAGACATTCTTCATAGATACAGCTGGCAGTGTGCATGCAAATGCATGAAAGATGGTAAACACTAATAGAGTAACAGAACACACACACACACATGCATATATATTTATATATATTGAAAGAATGGCAGTCTACTCATGTTAATATTCTCATCTTCATTGATATATATTATCAATTAGACATTTATAACAAATATAATTTCACATGGGAAAGGGTTTAGATTTAGTAGGCAAGGAAGGTAGGAAAGTCAGTGAAGGTTCTTTTTCTGGGAGGGGGGGCAGGGAGCTTTTTGCTATAGGGCATGTGTGCTTGCCAGAAAGAGAGAGACAGAGAGACAGAAAGTGAGAAGTCATCCCCCAGGGGGGATGGCCATACCAATCCCTTCTCCTCCATTCTCTTGGGATCTTGGGCAAGCACACAAACGCGCCTGGCTTGAGTTTAAGCCACTGGGTCTGGGACTTGAACCGTGGTCAACTACATGGGAGTCCAGTGACAGCCATTACGCCAACTGCTGGTCCCATTTAAACTTCTTGATGTGAAAATGTGTATGTTAATTTTCTAAAGCATTTTGAATCTTTGGTTCTTGCATTACAACTTATGTGACTATTTGCGATTTTAGAGGGCTTATAAAGAACTGGAAGGTAAGTAAGAGATTTAGTTATTTTCAATCCTTCCTTCACACTAGATGTGTGTGAAATTCTTTAAAAAGTACATGGATACGGTGGGGAAGCACTTTTGAATTTGTGGAGCAAAGATCTCTGAAATCTGTCACTCCATAAAATCAATGAGAACACTGTAAAATATAGTTAAAATAAACTTTTTCAGAACTTTTGAAATTACCAAAAGCTTGTAACAATTGGAGCAGTATTTATTTAAAGAAAAAATGGTAGACTCTTACAGTATCAGTGGCATTAATATTTTCAGCATTTTGGGACCAACAGATAGTGTAGTAAAGTCACTGGACTCCCACATAGCTGGCTATGGTTTGAGTCCCAGACCTGGCGGCGTGAAACTCATGCCAGGCACATGTGCATGCCCAGGATCTCAGGAGGAGAATGGAAGAGAAGGGATTGTGGCATGGCCATCCCCCTTGGGGGTGCTTTCCCACTTTCCCCCTCAGTGTCTCTGTCTCTGTCTCTCTCTCCAGTGACCACATGCACCCTAAGTCAAAAAAACCTCTAAATTCATGCATTATATACATATAATACATATATAAAGATTTCTGGCACTGTAACTTTTCCTATTTACCTACTCCTTTCCTTAGCTCCTCAGTAGTCTTAAAAATGAATGGTCCCACAACCATACAACCAAGACAGTTGTGAAAGCCAAAAGCCTAGGAGTCACTGGAGGGATGAAAAAAGTTTGAAGCTCCCTAAAAGCCTCATCACTAGAGAATTGTCATATCTTGATCTATCTTGCAGCTCCTTGGGAAATTCTCATTCACAGGACTGTCAAGAAAATCCAATGGAGATATAGTCTTTTCAGTAAGTGATGCTGGAACAACTATTAGATATCAACATATAACAAAATATTGAAGTTGAATCCTAACTAACATAGTAAACAAAACAAAACAAAAAACAAAAAGCCCTTAACATTGAATATACAAGCCAGCCAGTGTGTGGTGGTGAAGACAGCTGGATCCCACATGACAGACTATATTGTTTGAGTCACAGAACTGGTGACCTGATAAACAACTTGAACATGAATGAATGGATATTCAAATTCCTAAGAGAAGAATGAAGAAGAAGGGATTACAATGTGGCCATCCCCTGGGGTTGCTTTCTCACTTTCCCTCTCTCTCTTTCACATTCTGTCTCTCTCCAGCAAGCACACATACCCTAAGGCAAAATCAATCAATCAATAAATAAAAATTTTAAAAAATTATTATACATCTAAAACCTAAGTGCTAAAATGATAAAATTCTTATTAGAAAATATAGGAGTAAGTCTGTGACTTGACATTAGGCAATTTTTTTCTAATTTAAGTATGAACTTAAAGTACAAGTGACAAAAAAAAAAAGTATATATATTGGACTTACTGAAAACTAAAAACTTTTGGGGCCAGAAGATGGCATAGCAGTTATGTCACTGAACTCCCACATAGCCAACCGTGGTTCAAGTCCCAGACCTGGTGGCTTGAAACTCACTCCAGGCAAATGTATGTGTATGCCCAAGGTCCCAGGAAGAGAATGAAGGAGAAGGGATTGCAGTGTGGCCATTCCCCCATTCCCTGGAGTGATTTCTCACTTTCTCTTTCACTGTCTCTGTCTCTCTCTTTCTGGCAAATTCACATGCCCTAAAGCAAACATCTCTTAAAAAAAAAAAAAAAAAAAAACTAAACTAAAACTTCCATGCTTCAAGGTTACCATTAAGAAAGTAGACAGACAAATCACAGAATGGGAGAAAATATTTGCAAATCATACATTTGATAAGTGACATATATTCAGAATACATAAATAATTCTTACAGCTCAGTAATGGAAAAACAAGTCACCCAATTTAAAATAAGCAAACGATTTGAGTGAGCACTCTTTTCAAGAGGGTATATAAATGGCCAATAAGCATATGAAAAGTGTTTCAAATCATTTGTCATTAGGGAAATGCAAATCAAAATTACTATGAGCTAGCACTTTTAATCCCCAAGCATGGCCAAAATGAAAAAATTTAAACAAGGCTAGACCATAGAGGCACAGTAGTAAAATGTGATGCTCTGCAAGGCTGATCCATGTGGGAAAGTTCCGATTTCTTGTCCATGGACCTTCCTACATACACCATGCACGTGCGTGCCTTATATCTGTGACTGTCTGAGGCTGGGAGTGGATCACAGCATCAAGACTTTGTAGGGGTTGTACTCTCTTCTCTCTCTTTCTTTCATAGAATTAAAATAAGAAAATAAAAGGAAGCCAGCCAGTGGTGTGGGGGTGAAGGTGGCTGAATTCCACATGGCTAAGGAGTGGTTCGAGTACTGGACCTGGTGACTTGAAGAACACAATGGTCATGTGTGCCTGAGAGGAAAATGGAAGAGAAGGGACTGTGTTGTGGTCATATCTCCTAGCGAGGGGGTGCTTTCTCATTTTCTCTCTCTCTCTCTCTCAACTCTTTGTCTCTCTCCAGCTAATGCATGTGCCCTATAGCAAAACTAAAAATAAATAAATAAATTAATTAAAAGCAAAACAAAACAATATCAAGTGCTGAGAAGGATGTGGAGCAATTGGAATCCTCACATTTTTGGTAAAATGTAAATTGGCACAACCACTTTGAAAAATATTTTGACAATTTCTTCTGCAAATATCTGTATGAATCTTCTGGTATTCTATAGCAAGTAATAATAGTTAATAACAATTTACTGAGTACATTAAAATAGCTAAAATAGAGGATTTTCAACATTCCCAGCATAAAGTAAGGAGATGATGAACATGCTAAATACTCCAATTTTATTATTACACATTATACTCATATACTAAAAAATCATACTGTGTACCATAAATATGCACGATTATTAAGTGTCAGTTCATTAACTGATGGATTGATAAATACAGTATAACCTTATAATGGCATATTATTTGGCAATTAACAGGAACAAAAAACTAAATGCTCCAAGTGGATGCTTTTGGGGCCAGAAGATGGCATAGCAGTTATGTCACTGAACTCCCACATAGCCAACCGTGGTTCAAGTCCCAGACCTGGTGGCTTGAAACTCACTCCAGGCAAATGTATGTGTATGCCCAAGGTCCCAGGAAGAGAATGAAGGAGAAGGGATTGCAGTGTGGCCATTCCCCCATTCCCTGGAGTGATTTCTCACTTTCTCTTTCACTGTCTCTGTCTCTCTCTTTCTGGCAAATTCACATGCCCTAAAGCAAACATCTCTTAAAAAAAAAAAAAAAAAAAAAAACTAAAAAAGCCAGTATTTCCCCAGTTCATTTAACCACAAAACACTTTGTATATGATACCTACTAATATTTTAAAACATAGCTTGGGAAATTCTTTTCTCAAGATATCTTAGCCAAAGGTTTATCGGTTCCCTGTGTCAATAATATCAAACTTTGAATCTGCTAAATTCAGAAACTAATAACACAAATGCTGGAACAAACAGTTCCACACGCTTTCCTTCTGCAAATGGCACAAGCTGAAGAAACTATACATACAGAGAACCAGCAGTTAGCGTAATGGCTATGTCGCTGGACTCCCATGTAGCCGACCGTGGTTCGTGTCCCGGACCGGGAGAAAATATTTGCAAATCATACATTTGATAAGTGACATATATTCAGAATACATAAATAATTCTTACAGCTCAGTAATGGAAAAACAAGTCACCCAATTTAAAATAAGCAAACGATTTGAGTGAGCACTCTTTTCAAGAGGGTATATAAATGGCCAATAAGCATATGAAAAGTGTTTCAAATCATTTGTCATTAGGGAAATGCAAATCAAAATTACTATGAGCTAGCACTTTTAATCCCCAAGCATGGCCAAAATGAAAAAATTTAAACAAGGCTAGACCATAGAGGCACAGTAGTAAAATGTGATGCTCTGCAAGGCTGATCCATGTGGGAAAGTTCCGATTTCTTGTCCATGGACCTTCCTACATACACCATGCACGTGCGTGCCTTATATCTGTGACTGTCTGAGGCTGGGAGTGGATCACAGCATCAAGACTTTGTAGGGGTTGTACTCTCTTCTCTCTCTTTCTTTCATAGAATTAAAATAAGAAAATAAAAGGAAGCCAGCCAGTGGTGTGGGGGTGAAGGTGGCTGAATTCCACATGGCTAAGGAGTGGTTCGAGTACTGGACCTGGTGACTTGAAGAACACAATGGTCATGTGTGCCTGAGAGGAAAATGGAAGAGAAGGGACTGTGTTGTGGTCATATCTCCTAGCGAGGGGGTGCTTTCTCATTTTCTCTCTCTCTCTCTCTCAACTCTTTGTCTCTCTCCAGCTAATGCATGTGCCCTATAGCAAAACTAAAAATAAATAAATAAATTAATTAAAAGCAAAACAAAACAATATCAAGTGCTGAGAAGGATGTGGAGCAATTGGAATCCTCACATTTTTGGTAAAATGTAAATTGGCACAACCACTTTGAAAAATATTTTGACAATTTCTTCTGCAAATATCTGTATGTATCTTCTGGTATTCTATAGCAAGTAATAATAGTTAATAACAATTTACTGAGTACATTAAAATAGCTAAAATAGAGGATTTTCAACATTCCCAGCATAAAGTAAGGAGATGATGAACATGCTAAATACTCCAATTTTATTATTACACATTATACTCATATACTAAAAAATCATACTGTGTACCATAAATATGCACGATTATTAAGTGTCAGTTCATTAACTGATGGATTGATAAATACAGTATAACCTTATAATGGCATATTATTTGGCAATTAACAGGAACAAAAAACTAAATGCTCCAAGTGGATGAATTTGAAAAATATTATGCTAATTGAAAGAGTCTAGTCACAAACGGCTATATAGTATATGATTCCATTTAGATAAATGTGTGGAGTAAGACAAATCCATATCATAAAAACAGAAAGTAGAGGAGCATATTTTTAAAATTCTTGAGACCAGCAGTGGTATAATAGCTATGTCACTGGACTCCCATGTAGTAGACCAAGGTTGAGTCCTGGACACGGTGGCTTTAAACTCATGCCAGAGTTCTGTGTGTGGGGTGCCCAAGATCCTGAGAGGAGAATGGAGGAGAAGGGATTGTGGTGTGGCCATCCCCCCTAGGGGGTGATTTCTCACGTTCTGTCTCTCTGTCTTTCTGGCGAGTGCACATTCCCTGTAGCAAAAACCTCTCAAAAAAATTAAATAAATAAAAATTGGGACCAGCAGTTAGCATAATGGCTGTGTTGCTGGACTCTCATGTAGTCGACTTTGGTTTGAGTCCTGGACCCGGTGGCTTAAACTCATACCAGGAGCATGTGCAAGCATGCCCAAGATCCTGATAGGAGAATGGAAGAGAAGGGATTGTGGTGTGGCCATTCCCTCTGATTTCTCGTTTTCTGTCTCTCTGTCTGTCCCTGTCTTTCTGGTGAGTGCATGCACCCTATAGCAAAAACCTCTCTAAATAAATAAATAAAATAAAATAAAATAAAATAAAATAAAATTCTTGTCACTCAAGGACATTGTATTCTGCCCCCCAGACCCTCACACAAAAAATGAGACTTTGTTAAGGAATAGTATGTGCTAGTTTTCTTTGACTGTTACATTATCCCAGAACAGTATCCTGAAGTAGGCTATGGCCACACACTGGACTTGCCTTAGAAAGTTTTAAAATACTGATGCATGGGTCCCACCCACCTCTGATTTAGTCCTGGATATAGCCTGGACACTTTTTAAAGCTTACCAGTTTACTATAATGCATACCCAGAGTAGAAAACTGCTAACTGCCTAGAACAATGTCCTCTGAACTTTCAGCAATATAATTACATGTAATGCTTAAAATAAAGCCATATTTACGGGGCTAGCTGGTGGCATGGTGGCTAAAGAAGCTGGACTCCCACATGGCTGATCACAGTTCAAGTGCCAGACTTGGTTTGCTTTCTCTCTCTCTCTCTCTCCTCTCTCTCTCTCTTTCTCTCTTTGTGTATGTCTCTGTCTGATCAAACTGAAAAATAATGGTAATAAATAAATCTTTAAAAAATAAAATAAAATAAAGCCATGTTTAAAATGACAATTGCTAAGTTAAATCCACAATAATATTGTTAGATGACACTCTAAATTTTTCTTAAAGCTTTAAGCCATGAAGTAAATTATTTAATATATAGACTGTGTAATCAATTGAGATAATAATGCTAAGTAGATAAGGTTTCAAAACACTCCAGAACCACGAGGAATGAAAACACATTTGCAAGAGGACATACCTTCGGCACTGACGGCAGAACGCACTGACCAGACCGACCCACGGCGGAACGAGTAATTTCTGTGGGAAGTGCTGGAGGTACAGGACGGACTTACAGACAGTCGCCTGGATGCCAGATTGGTGACTTCTTCTACTGGCAAACAAAATGGGGAATGTGAATTTTGGTTTTATAACAGAAAGGTTATCATCACAATAACAGTTGTACTTACATCACAATTATATGAGGAGTTCTTCAAAAATTCATGGAAAATGCTCATTATGGAAAAACTACAAATGCATTATTTCAAAAAAATTTTTGTACCAGGCCCAGTAGGCGGTGTGGTGTAAGGTGTTGGACTCCCACATTGCTGACGGCAGCTCGAGTCCTGGACCTAGTGGAATGTGTGCACACACTCAAAATCCTGAGAGGAGAAGGAATTGCGGGTTGGTCATCCCCCCTGGAGAGGTAATTTTTCACTTTCTCTCTCTCTGTCTGTGGCAAGTGCACATGCCCTACGGCACAAACATGAAGTTAAAAAATGTTTTTGTACTAAAATAAACTCAGACTTGAATCTCAGCGGTCCGTGAACTTTTTGACCATAAAGCTTAGTTTGGAGTGTACTAAGGAAAACAAAACAATATAAAACAAAAAAAACTTTATAGAAATAACATTTCTCTGGAAGTTTCCATAAGAACAGGGTAGAGAACCACTAAATTTAGAATGGCTCATAAATCATTTTCTTATATCAACCAACAGACTGTCATTATGAAGGTTGAAAGTAGTTCATGGGTTAATCTCATTTTTAATGATGGACTAATGACTGTATTTACTTTATACACATTCTGCATTTAGCTGTTACTGAATTACAACCACTGTGTAATGCATTGTTAGATTGCTTCATTCAATGAGGCTAATATCTTCCTCTGGAAACAGGCCAACTCTAAACTTCAGAAAACAACAACTTTATCAAAAGAGATGGAAGGGGGCATTTTATCTTATGTTCCATAAAGTTATCAATGTTTATTTCAGAGCAATTTCTTTCCCTGTGACTTAGCCTCCCACCCCCAAATCCCATGAGTAAGGGGCACCTTCTTCTTCTGGCTCTGAGTTGGGTGTGCAGGTGGGCTCGTAGCAAGCCTCCTGGGTGATGGGGATGGCAGTGATGAGGCTGGCCTCTCGCCCGAGACGTTTCTTCTCTTCCTCCTGCTGCAAGTTCTTTAGGATGTGCTCTGCCCTTTGATGGGAGCGGGACACAGCTCTTGCTGAAAAGGATTTCTGCAGTGACATGAAGGCAAGTTTCTTTAATAGCAATTCTTCCACAAGGTCATAGGCAATAGTTACATAAACGTGGTAGTTTTCCCTCAGGAAATGTTAGGAAATCCATGATCTAGTTTCATGGATGGCTACTCATTAGTTTCCTTTTAAAATCAGGTTTCCAGGTTCTGTACAACTAGAGTTTAAAAAGCTTTTTTTTTTTTTCCAGGACCAGCAGATGGTGTAATGGTTATATGGTTATGTCACTGGACTCTCACATAGTCAACTGCAGTTCAGGTTCTGGACCTAGTGGCTTAAAACTCATGCCAGCTTGTGTGAATGCATGGCCAGAATACTGAAAGGAGAATGGAAGAGAAGGGATTGTGGCATGGCCATCCCCCTGGAGGGTGATTTCTTGCTTTCTGTCTCTGTCTCTCTGGCAAGAGTATATATCCTATAGCAAAAAATCTCTCTTTAAAAAAAGCTATTTTTTTTCTTTGACTTCAATCAGAACAATCCTTCATGAATATTTGTAATTTCTGCAAAGAATGTTATTTCATGTTTAGGATTTTTTTTTTGAAAGAATATCAATGATTTGGGGCTGGCAGGTGGCGTGGTGGTTGAGGGCGCTGGATTCCCACATGGCCGACTGCGGTTCAAGTCCTGGACCTGGTGGCTTGCTTTTTCACTTTCCCTTTCTCTCTCTCTATCTCTCTGGTCAAATTAAAAAATAGTTATAACAAATGAAGTTAAATAAATAAATATTAAAAAAAGAATATCAATGATTTACTGTTCAAATATTTAGACCTAGTTAAAAAAAATCAAGTACTCTATTTCCAATTTTTTTGAACTGGTTTTTATAAAAGGATATTTATTGGAGAATTTTTGTTTTTGTTTTTGTTTGTTTGTTTGTTTGTTTTTGCTATAGGGCGCATGCACTCACCAGACAGACAGAGAGAGACAGAGAGACAGAAAGCGAGAAATCACCCCCCAGGGGTGATGGCCATGCCGCAATCCCTTCTCCTCCATTCTTCTCTTGGGATCTTCAGCACGCATACACACGCGCCCGGTGTAAGGTTTAAGCCACCAGGTCCAGGACTCGAACCGTGGTCGACTATGTGGGAGTCCAGTGATATAGCCATTAGACTAACTGCTGGTCCCAAAAAAGGATATTTATTTAATGAGGCTAATCAAATAGAAAGTAAGACCATGGAAAGGAGAAGGAGAGGGATATATCTTATATAAAGCAGTTAGTTATGTGACTTATTTAATTTTCACAGCTCAAGTATCTACCATACTGTGAATAATTAATATTTGTAGAAAAGCACAGTGGCACACAGTTAATGCTTAACAGTATTACTAGAGACAAAGCTACTGACTAAAACGATGAATTTATAGTGTTACTAACACTATATGTAGAAGTTGACTCTGTTTACTAGCAACCGAGGCATAACACAATACTATTAAAGAACAACCCTTTCTTCCACAGGTGAGAGAGAACGCATGACAGAAGAGACAACTTTTCTCTGCAGAATGGCTGTTATATTTATGCCATAAGCATGATGCTTACATTAAATTTCAAGAGCGTTGGGAACAGATATGTTGTCAGAGAGCAGGAAAGTGATCATTGGAGTTCTTTCCTACCAACTTGAGGTAATGTCTATGTACACCAGCAATTCCACACCTCTTTATAGCCTATAGTCACACGGAGCTCTAGAGACGGCCAGGGGGTATTGGTCACTATACTATAGGGATGCATTCATGGATGATTCTTTCATGCAGGATCTTAACATATAATGAAAGTTCCCCAATATGTAATATTGTAATACTCTTTGTTAAAGATGATGGATATGGAAATATCTTTAATTTGATTATCATACACTACATGCATGCTTTGAAAAACTACACTGTACCCCCAAAGATGTACAACAATTAAATGTAAATAAGAAATGATAATGGAACCAGCAGTTAGCGTAATGGCTATGTCGCTGGACTCCCACGTAGTCGACCGCGGTTCGTGTCCCGGACCCGGTGGCTTAAAACTCACACCAGGCGCGTGTGCATGTGTGCCCAAGATCCCGAGAGGAGAATGGAGGAGAAGGGATTGTGGCGTGACCATCCCCTCTGGGGGGTGATTTCTCACTTTCTGTCTCTCTGTCTCTCTCTGTCTGTCTGGTGAGTGCATGCGCCCTATAGCAAAAACCTCTCCAAAAAAAAAAAAAAGAAGGAAAAAGAGAAATGATAAGTAAAATTAATAAAAAAGGATGCAGATTATTAAAAAAGTGTTTTCCTATGATGCGTGGCATAACAGCAATTAAGATTCATTGATAGATCAAACTCAGTTTCAGAGCCAGGTTGCTATGCTGGTATATTAAAATAAAACAAAAGGTAAGAATTATGGAATAAGAAAGATATTAAATATAGAATCAGGAGATGTGGTTTCAAATCCACTGTAAACTTGGAATAGAGAGTGCAGTTGGCTCAAATAAACCCATCACCTCTGTGGGAGAAAAATTGAAGATCCTTATATTGGTGGTCCAGATGCTGGAATTACTGCAATATGGGAGTAGAACCCGGCATATTTTTCCCATTGGCAAGGAGCAGTAAGATAGGAAGGTACCACATGCAGAAGAATTAAATAGGCATATTATGATGGGTAAAGAGTTCAAACAATTTTTTAAAGAAAACTACAAATGCCTAGAAAATCTATGTAGGATATGCATAAATGATCAATCTAACTTCATGTGAATTATCTTCAAAATGTTCATGGACAATATGTATTTTTACCAAAATAAACTCATACTTTAATTCATTTTCCACTAACTTTTTTGAGGTATCCTCATATGATTAATTAATTTATTAAAAAAATTAGTGACATTAAACAGTTACATTTTGAGCCATTCAAATAAGCAATTTAAAATATTAGTTACTTTATTTATTTATTTTTGGAGAGGTTTTCACTATAGGGCGCGTGCGATCGCCAGACAGAGAGAGACAGAGAGACAGAAAGCAAGGAATCATTCCCCAGGGGAGATGGTCACGCTGCAATCCCTTCTCCTTCATTCTCCTCTCAGGATCTTGGGCACGCACGCACACGCACCAGGCATGAGTTTTAAGCCACCAGGTCCGGGACGCAAACCGCAGTCAACTACGTGGGAGTCCAGCGACATAGCCATTACACTAACTGCTGGTTCCCATTACTTTATTTTTTTGAGAGATACATCACGTAATATTCTTTGTTGCAAATGATGAATATGCTTGATTTGATTATCACACACCACATGCATACTTTGAAAAACCATATTGTAGCCCATAAAAACATACAAAAATTAAAAATTAAATGTTAATAAGTAATTATAGTAAGTAAATAAAAGGAAATTTTAAGAAATGAGTTAATTTGAATGGAGGACACTTTCCTATTCTATTATGTAAGAGTAAAATGATATAACCTTTCTGGGGATATTTTTTGAGACATATCAATAGCCTTTAATAATTACATGCCAGTTGTCACAAATTCTATGGAAACTTATGCAAGAAAATAATGATGGATTTGTGTGGAGATGTGCTCTTTTTATATCTTTGCTTTGTTTTCAAAATTTTTTACATTATTCTTATACATTAAAAAATGGTATTTGACAGGCAAAAACAGGTGTGTGTGTGGGGGGTGTTGGGTTGTCAGAAAAGTAATGATGTATTTTTTTCTATACAAAAATACATCACAATTTTTCTGACAACCCAATATATATATATATATCATTTATGAATGAGAGAAAGGGAGTGAGAGAGGGAAAGGAAGAGAGTCAGAGATAGGTATACTTTTTTTCTTTTTAGAGGTTTTTGCCATAGGGTGTGTGTGCTCAATGGAGAGAGAGTGACAGAGAGACAGTGAGAGGGAAAGTGAAAAATCACCCTTCTGGGGGTGGGGAGGTTGGTATGCCAGTCTCTTTTCCATTCTCTTCCCAGGATCTTGGGTACACATTCACATGTGTTGGCATGATTTTCAAGCCACCAAGTCTGGGACTTGAACTGTGGTTGGTCAGGTGGAAATCTTGTGACATAACCGCTATGCCATCTGCTGACCCAAGAGATATGTATTCTTGACAGGGTCTCACTCTGTCAGGATTCTCCTGCCTCCCAATTAGCTAGGATTACAGGTATTTGTAATTGCACCTGGCTTATTTAGGTTGGCCTAGGAACTGGATCCAGGCCTCCCATGTAGTTTTCATCCCCCCATATTGGTGGAATTACCTGTTCATCATATTATAAATATACTTTTTTTCAAAAGGTGCATACTTTTTATTTTTATCTATGAATGGACTAAGCTCTAAGCTTGAGTGTGAGCTATATTTTACACACAGCAGTGCTAAAAACAAGGTCTCAGTGATGTTTGTGATGATGACGCTGATCATCAACATATAAAGAACAATCTGAAGTCTGAACAAAGAAGTAAGAGCTACTGGCTCTTACTTTTCTAGAGTCAATAGCGTTGCCTTCAGGTTGCTTGCCTATTACACTGGTTGTAGGAAAAGTCATGATGCATTTTTGCATAGAAAAAGAGAAAAATATGTCATGAATTTTCTAACAACCTAATAGATTGAATGAATATGTTTTCTAACAGATAAAGTCAAAGGTGCTGCCTTTGGCCGAGAAATCAGTGCCTAATGCTTTCAATAGCTTTGTAAAGTGTCCCATGCTTTGATTATAGAACAAAACTGTGTTGGCTTGGAGGTGTGCAAATACTCATTATTTGCAGATATTAGTCCCTTTCACTTTATGCACAAGAACAATGACTCTTCATGGTAATTCTATTCTTATGACAAGAACGAACAAATTGTCTCACAATTCATGACTCTCTTTCACATGTACACCATGTAATCTAGAAATAGTGGAAAGAAAGTGCCCATTACTCACAGACTGGTCTTCATTAATGGGATCTTGGACACTCCCACTGCACTGAGGGACCCATGGCGGGTCAAACATTGGGACCGATGGCATTCCAAGCACTGGCGAGGGCAGAGTGAAGTTTATACTGGGAGGTGGGATCTGTCATCGATATCAGAAAAATAAAGTAAGATAGAATACAAGCTGGAATGAATCTGAAGTATAATTATGATATAATCTAAGTGAATTGTTTGGGTCTAAGTGAATCCTCATGGAGTAAACATCATAGAAAAAGGTAATTTCTGAATATTTTTTTGTAATAGAGCCTAGGATAGATTTCTCTGAGCCTCACTGATTTTAAGATGAAGTCTTTCAATCGCATGACTTCTATTTGCTTAATTGCCACATATTAAAAAAAATCAGTATGAGGGGTCTTTAAAAAGCAAATGCATATTATGAAAAAGCTAGGCATGAATTTCAAAGATTGTCTAGTACCAAAATAAACTTGCATTTAATTTCCATTTTTTTGCAACCTTTTGAAGTTCCCGTTTCTGTGTGTGTGTGTGTGTGTGTGTGTGTGTGTGTGTGTATAGCAAAATGTCTGGAAGATCATATCCCAAATTTTTATGTTTTATACCTTGGCACAGGATAGTGGGATTTTGAGGTTTATAGAGAGTTTGTGGTTTTACTTTTCATTCCTCTATATTTCAAATTTTTAAATAACATACATTCATTCATGTATGATTTAGGTTTACTATGAGAGAGAAAGAGAGAGAGATTTCATTGACCATATATGTCTTGAAGGTTCAAGGGTTTAAGACTTGGGTTGGGTTTGCCTATATAATTCCCATGTGGGAAGTATCCCTCACCTTAAAGATCTGCTGTGCTCCCTCCTCCATCCGGGGCCAGACCTGATATCGAAACCTCCAGAGTGTGTGGAACTTGAGGACAGCGTTCAGCCGCTGCACGGTCTCTGGGTGATGAAACTCTGACATCAGCATGTCAGACACGGCCTCAGGGACCTTCACCGCACACAGCAGGAACATGGCAGCTAGAGACAGTCAATAATTTATCAGCTACACATCTTTAAATACTGCTTGATTCTTGGAGTTGGGGAGAAGTGGTAACTGCTCCAAGCTCCTGAAAGTGACTCCCAAGCTAATGGAGCCAGGCTAACAGCACTAACAAAAGCAGGCCTTTCAGCCACTGGCAACCACCCAGTCTTTCAATAGCTGGTTTGAGGGCAGTGACAGCATAACATTTTAGTAGAATAGCTCATTCTAAGCAAAACTTCCCTTGGCTCATAGTGAAAAGTGAATGTCAGGGGAAGTAAATGAAAAAAGAAAATTACATACTGAATTATACTTTTTTAGGAAATGACGATACCGTCATAGTAACCTAATTTCATAGTAACCCAAGGATGATACATAAAGAGATCCATTAAAAACCATCTCATCTACATTAGGTATATTAAAAACAAAATGTACATTGTGTTTTATTAGACTCTTTTACTCTTTCCAGAGATAAAAAAGACAGAGATATCAAAAGAGATTACATGACTCATAATACAGTTGGTTTCTTTTTTTTTTTAAGTTTGGGGAAAACTAACTATTAATAAGAGAAAGATCAGGTGCCATGATACATTATAAAGGTAATAATTAGTAAGACATAAATAAACTGTATCTCATAGATAGAAGAGCTAGTGGCAATTCGAAAAACACAATCTAGAATTTCTCTGTCCTAGAGCCTCAAAATATGCTCAGGCAATTGTGTGAGAACTGGGGTTCCATTCTGGTTAAGTCTAAATTCTCTTAGCCTCCATTTCTTCGCTGGTAAGCTGTCAAGAACCACAGTGACAATGATGAAGAAAATGATATCTGATTCCAAATTTATCGTTAGATGGTAATACCAGCCTCTAAATTTGTTAGAATAAAATAATACATGGCAAGTGCTTTGTGAAGTGAAAAGTGCTACATACTCCTGAAGTGTATTTTAATTTTTAGAGGTGATGTGGAGTAATGCGAAGAGCATCCATATATGCAGCCAAAAGACTTGGTTTTCCGGTTCTCTAATTCTGAGCTAGTGAACTTGGATAAGTCCTTTCAACTCTGACTTATGTTGCTCACCTAGACAACATTTATTAAATAATTATTAAATTTTATTTATTATTATGAATATTTTAAAAATTTGCTATAGGGTACACATGCTTACCAAAGAGAGACAGAGAGAGAGCAAGAGAGGGAAAGTGAGAAAGCAAGCTGCCAGGTCCGGGACTCGAACCATAGTTGGTCTTATGGAAGTCTAGTACCTTAACCACGATACCACCTGTTGACCCTTACAGTAACTTTAATAAGATAAAATGTGATCTAGCTCTGTCACAAAAAAATTATTGTCATCATTACCTTTAGATCATCCTTTTCTTTATCCCACCAGCTGCCTAAATCTCTACTCTTTCTCCTTTCTTTACTGTTCTTTAAGATGTACTCTATTCTCTCGATTTTTAAATATCCTGCTCACTCTAAATCATTGTAGAGTTCTACCTTAATCTCTTTACTGAAACAGTTTCTTGTAATGTTCAGCAGTCTCAGTGGTAGTTGTTCAGCACTAATTTCCCTTCAGTTTTTAACACCTTTATAACAATCTCCTTGACGAGCTATTCTCCTTTGCTTCCATGGCTGGAGATTAACTGAGCTCTTCTATTCTGATCACCTTTTCTAGATCTTCTGCTGGCCTAGCTTCTTCTTCTGGTTCTCTCAAAGTAGAGAAGACACAGTGGTCATCTCTCTGCTCTCTCTTTTCTTCTGATTCTCTTGAGAAATCTCATCCACTCTCATTCCTTCAGTTGGCGGTTGTATTAACTCACTCCTAATTTTACCTCTAGTTTGGACTTTTCTTATCAGCTTCAGTGTCATGTCACCAACTGTGTGTCATCATCAGCCCCCGTTCATCTAAAAATCAATATGTTTAAAACCAAACTGTTCTAGTCATTGTTGACACATTAAACTTGGTGATATTCTTACTGTATATACAATGTTACTCTTTGGCTTAGAACTCTTGAGTAACTTTTTTTTTTTTTTTGAGAGGTTTTTGCTATAGGGCACGTTTTGCTACAGGGCGGGCCCTCCCCCGACAGAGAGAGCCAGAGAGACAGAAAGCGAGAAATCGTGGAGATGCTCAAGCCGCAATCCCTTCTCCTCCATTCTCCTCTTGGGATCTTGGGCATGCACGTGCACGTGCCTGGCATGAGTTTAAGCCACCAGATCCGGGACTCGAACCGCGGTCAACTACGTGGGAGTCCAGCGACATAGCCATTATGTTAACTGCTAGTCCCTTGAGCAGCTTTTTACAGGTTAGTAGGAAGTCTAGACTCCTAAGCCTGTCATTTGAGGTTATAGTCTGAAGCCCATTCACCTCTCTAATATTATGAACTAGCGACACACAAAAACCACGCCACCTGTCAAATTAGTCCCTTGGCTATCCAAATAACCCCATGCATTTCCATACCCATGTGATTTATATACACCATTTTCTCAGCTTGATTAATCTCTGTTAAAACTCAGTCAACCTAGAGGACAGAAGGTGGTGTGTTGGTTATGGCGCTAGACTCCCACATGGTCAACTGTGGTTTGAATCTCAGATCTGGTGGCTTGCTCTTTCACTTTCTTTCTCCCTCTCTGTCTGTCTCTTTCCCTCTCTTTGGTGAGTGCAAGTGCCCTATAGCAAATTAAAAAATAATAAAAGTTAAATAAAATTAAATAAAGAATTCTCACAAAAAGAAACAAACACAAAAACCCCAGTCAACCTGTTTGTATTTTCCATGGAAGTTTCCATTACTATCCCATATTTGGGAAAGCATATCCTTCCCTAAACTTCCCTGTCTCTGGGAAGTTTGTGGTAGAGTCACAAAACCAGAATTGTAATGCGAATAGATATTTCACAATGATTTTGTTGCATTATGGTATAAAAGAGCAAAATGTTGGAATCAAACTAAATTTCCATTAATAGGTCCTGACTAAATAAATGATAGTATATCCATCCATTCATTCAATGGAATATTTTATAACCATTAAAAAAAGAGGAATAAAACTATAAACTGATGTTTAAAAGTGATCTTCCAGATATGAACGAACAACTGCAAAGTTCAGAAGCCTTTATAGTATGTCTTATTTGTGTGAAAAAGGAAACAGGCAACATTTTACATACCTACTAATGTAAGTATGAATGCATAGTCTATACTAGAAGAATTTCTAAGAAATTTCAAATTGTTGCCCAGAGGAAGGCGATGGGAAGGGTCATAGGAAAGAGAATGATAATCTTCATATACTACTGTGCTATTTAATTTTTTTTACCATGTGTATTTCAGAATTAAAATAATCATATAAAAATAAAGGGATCTGGACAAAAAATAGGAATAAATGAACCCACATTTTACATTACTGACTAGAAATGTGGCTTTGGACAAGTCATTTAAATTTCAACATTTGTTTTGATATTGCAATTTGGACACAACATGATTCACATATAATAAAGCTAATGATGTTAATTCATGGTAAATTTTGTAAATAACACACAAAATAGGATTTTAACTTTTGTGAAACATAATGAAAATGTAGTTCCTGGAAGAAATAATTTTCTATAATTTGGTAACCCCCAAGAGAGGAATAGTGCTCTATGCAAACCGGACAGTAAAAATGGGAGTATATAGGGACCAGCAGATGGTGTAATGGTTATTTTGCTGGATTCCCACATTGTTGACTATGGTTCAAGTCCCAGACCCGGTGGTTTAAAACTCACTCTGGGCTAGCGTGTGTGCGTGGCCAAGATCCCAAGAGAAGAATGAAGGAGAGAGGATTGCGGTGTGGCCATACTCCCTGAAGAGTGATTTCTCACTTTCTGTCTTTCTTTCTCTCTTTGTTTCTCCAGCGAGCACACATGCCCTATAGCAAAAATCTCTATCCAGAAAAAAGGAAGAAGTGGGAGTACATAGAACCTGGGTCTGCTTTCCTGTAGTGTGCAGCTCTGTCTGGAGGCCTAACAACTGCCGTCAACCTGACTCGGAAGTGAAACTGGAATGAATGATGAATGCGTGTCTCTCCCATTTACACCTTCCGGTCAGGTGTGGCTGTGGCAGCAGGAGCAAGTCCCACATGGGCTTCCTGTACCTGCCGCTCCTGCCATGTGCTCATCCATACTGAGCAGGAGCTCCCAGGCAGCTGGCTGGAGGTCTCCGTACATCTCCTCTGTCAGAATTGGTGCCGCCTTGATTAACAGAGACAAGGGAGCAGGCGACAAGCTCATCACCTGGGAAAAGATGGAAATGACCTTGTAAAATATTTAAGACAATGACTATAGTACTCTTCTTGAAGCTTAAGAGGCACTTCTCCGCTCTCTTTATTTTAAAGGAATTTGTGATATTTTCTAAATGGGGGCATGTTTAGTTGGCATGGTATATAACCAACTTTATACTTTACTTGTTGAAGCATAACTAGAAAAAAATACTAATTTTATAATCTTTCATTGCAAAAATTGTTTTGTAACTACCCGGAGAAGAAACTGGGGGATAAAAAGGATGAGAAGTGAAAAACTGCAGAAAGCATATTTTTGTGTTAAAAGGCCAAATAGACTTTTAAACCATCCTATTTTTCTTCCTATTAGTAGATTTCCACTGAAAACGATAAACAATCTCTAATTTATAAGGGAGTACAGCTCGGAAGCTGGTTTTCTAAGCCAGTGTGAACTTGAATGTCATTTGCCTTTGAAACAACATTACACACAATGGTACAAAATCCTATTTAATCTATTATTTCAGATAATTTAAGGGATACATGTAGTTCCTGGACTAGTCATCATTTTAAACACATTTTAGAAACAAACAAACAAATAAAACACCTTTTTTTGTCCCCCTAGGGAAAGGTAGAGCTTTAATTATAATAGTATTGTAACAATGTGTCACGTTCTGGATAAGTAGGTAAATGAACTATTTTATTCAATCCATGGAATAAACTTTGGGACAGATCTAGCATCATAACCCCTAACTCTGAAGACTTGTCTGAAAAGTGACTGTCTAGGAGGAAGGATTTTTTTCTTTGCACACTTGGCAGCATTCTCACTCACCCACTAACGGGGTCTTTAGGCCGGCTCTGTGCCAGCTGACGCTATACCCCAAACACTAGGAGAAAGTCTGTCTATGGCCCCTTCTTTGTCAATATTCCACAAATGATTCTGACCCAGGTGGCAGTACCTGAAGTCTGATGTACTTCAGCATTCCAGAATCCTTCTTCCCTTCCAGGTTGGCATCTGAAACTCTCTTCTTCAGGGAAGGCGTCCTGAGGCATGACTTATCCGAACACTAAAAAGAACATGGGAGGTCATGATCAGTGTCATGCTTTCTCGAAAACCAACAGTACTATGTTTCTCCTAAATTCTCCAAGAAAATATCTCCTAATGGAAGAAAAGATTTAAGGCTTTCTTTGTGAACCCACACAATCTGAAATGTATAAAAGCAGTTATTTTTTTTTTTTTGAGAGATTTTCACTATAGGGCACGTGTGCTCGCCAGACAGAGAGAGACAAAGAGATAGAAAGCAAGAAATCACCCCCCAGGGGGGATGACCACGCCACAATCCCTTCTCCTCCATTCTCCTCTCAGGATCTTGGGCACGCACGCACATGCGCCTGGCCTGAGTTTTAAGCCACTGGGTCCGGGACATGAACCATGGTCGACTACATGGGAGTCCAGCGACATAGCCATTACGCTAACTGCTGGTTCCCAAAAAGCAGTTAATTTTATAGTGAGAAGGGAACTTAGCGATACTTAGTAAAAACCTCTCTTGTACCTTTGAAGAAACTGGTGCCAGTTATAATATTGACAGACACAAAGCCAAATGCCGTAATACCAAATATTAAAGTACTATAAGATCAAAATCCCTGAAATCTAAAGCCTCTAGTGCCTAAAATCCTCAAAGTCAGAACCATAAAAGATCAGAATTCTGAATACTAGAATCCTGCAACGCAAGATTATGGAAGTCGGGAACCAGCAGTTAGCGTAATGGCTATGTTGCTGGACTCCCATGTAGTCGACCGCGGTTTGGGTCCTGGGCCCCGTGG